CGACGGCTAGTTTTTCTAAATTCCTATTTCTAATTTAACGCTGTGTTCCATATTCAGTTTCGAGATATTTCGACAGTGAAGTAAAAACTAAATGACTTTAGAGTGTCAAGAGATTCGTAGGTAAAACATAAGTTCATTTTTTAACCGACGTTGTCCACCGCGTTGCCATCGTCGTTTCTTTAACTCCCTAATAAAGGAGAGTAAAACCAGTGAAGCAGTGAAAATTGCTCTTATTTCCAGCTTGATGACAGTTTCTCCGGGGAACTAAACTATCAGCTTAGTCGAAGCGACATGTTGGAAGTGACGTAAATCTTTAAGAAGATGAATCTTTCCACAATGGAAGATTTCAGTCATAGCTAATATGAAAACACAATACTTAGACAAACAGGCCTCTCAAGAAGAAAGTAAGATATTAAATTTCCATATTGAGCATAAGGAACTCACCAATAAGATGGAAAGAAACGCTTCATGCTGCCGTGTGTTAATTAGGGCTTCTTTTATCAAGTTTAAATTCAATCCTTCCAGTGATTTCTTGTTAGCGACGACGTCTTCAATTAGCGCTGCAGGTAATAAAAAATAGTCATTACTAACTGTGTCAATTCAATCCTTCCAGTGATTTCTTGTTAGCGACGACGTCTTCAATTAGCGCTGCAGGTAATAAAAAATAGTCACTACTAACTGTGTTACAGCTGAAGAAAAAACGACAAACTTAAGGCAATTTTCACTGGAGTGTCCAAATCAAGCTTTTTTTGCTTTGGTTTGTTTTCCTTCGTTAAGTGATTGGCATAGAAAGCTGACACGTCACCATCTCAACCAATCAGAATCAAAGAAAGTCAGAACTGCATTGTTCTGGTTTACATCAATCTGTGATTGGTCTAATAAACTCACGCTACCATCTCAACCAATCCAAATCGAAAAACACTATTTAGCCACTCGCGTTTTCCCGCGCTTTAGGCGGCAGTCACGTTTTTATGTCGTGTTCTCATTGGCTCTTTGTGATATTTCCCTATGTTTTGATTGGCCGTGTTGATTGTGAATTTTGATTTTGACATTCAATTAAAATGTGCCTTTAAAAACAAAATTTTCAGATTTTCACACCATTTACTTTACTATCTAAATAACCGAAAGTACACATAACGTTAAAATTGCAAAAATTAGCCTGAGGTTGAACACTTACCAGTATATCTAAACGCCAGTTTGGTTGTATTTTGAATTTCTGTTTGAACATTTTGTGTCGTGGCTGGGACAGCTTCACTTAATATGGCAGGCACTATAGAAAAGAAAGGTAAAAGACACTCAGTACCTTTTTCCAAAGGGATACCAACACGTACAAAGACGTATTTGAAATTAAGGAATATGCTATTCAGTTTCAGGAATTTTCTGAATTTCCACAAATTTCCTCAACGAAGAAAAATTGCTGAACAGACACGGCACCATAGAAACTATTTGTTCAGTACTAAAAACTTACAGTCATCAATTCCTTCTCCTCCTTTGCCACATTCACGATTAAAAAGTCTGATTCCAGTCACAATCAGTGTAAGCTCATTAAGCTGTCGTTCCTTGTCGCGCTTTGTTAGAGACATGAAAGTTCCCAGCTCTGTTTGTGGAAATACACTTTGCAAAGCAGCTGCAACAACAAGAATAACACAACTTGAAAAAAGTCATATTGCACTGTGTTATGAATTCAAGATACAGTTAGATACATTCTCTATTAAGATACTTGTATTAACAGATTTTTGGATGATGCAGCAAGGTAATCCTGCAGCACAGTCTATAACCAGTTCATGTATTAGTTATTGAGCTGGCAGAAAGAGTGAAATAAGAGATGCTATGACCAGTGCTAACCCAAGTTGAAGTCTAGTTTAAAGCAATTAAATCTTCATCAAAAGTCAAAATTTGGTTATCCTCTTATAGCTTCTGTTAAAGTGTCAGAGGCACCCTGTAAAATCAGAGTATCTAGTTGTTTATAATTTGTACTGTCATTTCCTTGTGATATTTGCCACATTGCTTTTATGGGCTGCTGTCAGCAATTACTTAATTAAGCTTAGCATTGTGTACATAAATTTTCTCTGTAAACTTGTAGTTCTCAAAGGCTTGTGACGTTTGATTGACAAAATTTAAGTATTTGATAGAAAGGATTCTTATCTGAAGCTTATTTAATACCTGTGGCTTCTCTCACAACAGCAATGTCCGTTGGAGAACCCAGACCAGACCGCAGCAATACACAAGACACTATTCTCCTGTACAAACCTAGACACAAAGTAAAATTTAATGAATCAATAGATAATTTACAATGCACCAGAAAACATTGGGGAGATGAAATTGTTTCACTGTTAGCATACTATACTCTGGGTTAAGAGGTCTGGCCGAGTCATCATGTTGTGTTCATAATCAAAAACACTCCACCCTTACAGTGCCTCTCTCAACACAGGAGTACAAATGGGTGTGCAGTAGGAGGCCTGACAAAATTATGGGGGTGTAACCTGCAATGGACTGGCATACCAATCAGGGGATGTAGAAACACCTCTACAAATTTCATGACATAGAAACCTAGATAACTGCTGGCTGGATGGGTTACTTACTAGATAACTGCTGGCTGGATGGGTTACTTAGCTTGAGTGCAGACAATACCTTTTAACTTTACAAAACAACTGTCCCCTAATACAATAAATCAGAAGAGCCCTATACTTGGAACCCACAAGCTATATAAAATTAGTTCTGTCAGTGACTAGCTAAGCCCAATTCTCCAGCCTAATTAAAACATTAATACAAAGGAAATCCATGACCATTGTAGAGAAGTCTTAATCTATAACCCCTGTTCCATCTGGCCTGACTACTAAGAAGACAAAAATTTGATTTTGGGCTCATTTTTGGTCATCATAATTTTATCCCCAAGAGAACTTGTACAAAAATTGCAAAGTTCTATCAAAAATCAATAGTGCAGACCCTCTAGTTCATCTCTTGTCCTTGCACGACTGTCAGTTATCTCTCTTATAACTGGTTGGAGTCGTTGATCAAGAACTCTCCTATGCTCTTCCAGGAAGTCAGCTGCAAGGTTAAAAAGAAAAGAGATCCACAAGTTTTATTGTGATATTCATTAACATGAATTCAATTCAAGGATATGAATCATATTCACCTAAATATTAAATCAACCTGACTAAAAAAAAAAGAACCAAACTAAGAACTATGCATTATAAATCAATAAGGAAAAAATAATTGCTGGGAGAGAAAAATAATGTCTGAATGCCTGAGACAAATTTGAGCAGAATTTTTCACCCTTAAACTCCCAAGATCTGAATATTAATTCTCTCCTCTAGCTACAACACATTTCCTTGTAAATTAGTTACGAGAAGTTGTTGTTAGATCAAGGTAGTAACTGCTACTTGATAAGTTCCATTATTCTCATTATTTGTTTGCTGGGTAATGTTTGGACATTATAGGGAGAAGTTACATATTAATCTCCTCTGGAAAGCAAAAGGGTTAACCCTTTTCACCCTAACATCAGTATGCATATTCTCCATACTGTTCTTTATACATTTCCTAACATGCCAAGAAGGAGAATTTGTTTAACAATCAAGAGCTTCTTTAGTTGGTGATCATTTCCTTTATTCTTGTGGCCTTAATATGTGATTCAGGGGTGAGAATGAAGGGAGAAATTAGATGCTAGTCACTCTTAGGAGTCAAAGAGCTCATGCTCAGAGATACGGACAAAAAAGTACAGTCAAGTAAAAATACATGGCATAGAAATTCAAATGCATCATGTTGTCCCAGTCTCAATTTGTTTGCACACACCCTATCGGTTGCAATTTGTTTTGTTTTTTTTTTTGGCAGGGGAGGAGGGAAGGGAAGGGCAGGCCCTATCCCTCTGAGGGACAGAAAGGAGCCATTAATTAGACAACAAATTTTTCAGAGCAATTTTAATATAACATTTGTGCATACCTCGACTGGTGTAATTCATGTCAAAATAAACCTGCATCTTGACTGTATCCAAAGATGGAGATTGTGAGTCCAACAGTCTATCTACACACAACTTTACGCAACATTTTTTAAATGAGCAATATATCAGTAAGTTACATTAAAGATTTGCCCAGCTTTAAAGTTTGAACAACTCCTTGTCTTAAATTACTATACACTCAAAGCACAAAATAAATTGAGGTTTTGAAAAATGTTTTTGGGAAACAAAAAACATTGATAATGATGCACAAATTTTCTATTAATTAAAAAGAACTTTGACACTCTCCAACATTTGGAAAAGGGTATATGGAAAAGATCTGATGAGAATTTCTTGTGATTTTTCTAATCCCAGATTTATAAAATTTACACCATAAACATCAGTGATAAGATAAGAAAAAGAGAAAACCAGAGCACTTTAACCACAAGCTAAACTATTATATGTAGACAATACATTGTGATATTATCTTGCCGCCATCTTTTACCTACCATAATGAGTTTTTGTACATCATCTTTGGTCAAAGTTCTGTCCACGTTAAATTCATTGTCTGGATCTAAGACTACCGCTTTAACCTGGAATGAAAAAAATACAATGCAATCAAGAATAGAAGGAAGCGTTTAACTCAACTGATTGGACAAAAAGGAAGTAAAACAGGGCCGATATTTTGTCAACATCAAAGTACCGACCATAAATGCTACGAGTGTTTCCGAAACTGCCTGCCCTTTGTTGGCGCATTCTTGAGCGATTTCGCGTATTATGTTCTTTATGACACTCTCAGCTTGTGCCCTCGACATTTTTCTTAAATAGTTTTTTCCCTCAAATGATATCACAACATCAGTACTGTTGCTGATGAATCTGAAAACACTTTAGAGATCGACGGAAAATGCCGCCATGCAAAAGTTTTCAGAGGTGTCATGGTAACTAAATCCGCGAAATACTGGGGACTATATTATGTGACACCACGATACACTATTGGTCAGCGGAAACTACTCAAAATTACATGCGCTCTATAATGTTTACTTAGCACAAACGAGTAGCGCTCTGGGATCGATAATACGTGAACAACATGGCTGATCTTGCAAAAGGACAGGAAAATTTTGATTTTTCGTCTTCAGCAGCGTCTCCTAAAGATTCAGACACCGAGGTCGTTATTCACAGAGATGTTTTAGACTCATGGTCGAATCCAGATGATAGAATCAGTGCGGAATTGGAGAAGAAAACCGAACATGGCTTCGAAAATTTGGTTAATACCTTGAGTGTTGAAGAACAGGATCACATAGAGTCTGTCGAATATGCTGCTGGTGTTGATGAAAAATACGAGAATAAGGAAGGGATTGTTAAGAGAGTGTTGTTAGATTTCGAGGAAGGAGTTCAACGTGAAGATACGATAACATCAGTAGGATTTGACAATGATGAGAAGACACAAGAGATAGAATTCAGACACAGATTTTCACAACAAGAAGAACAGCAGTACCAAGCACAACAAAAACAACTACAACGACAAGAGAGGGTGGGCTATTCGAATGAAGACACTAGAATACCAAAAAGTAACTTTCAATCCTTAAAAACAATGGAATCAGAAATGCGATCATACCAAAAAGACCCGCATGGAGATGTTCCACAAATCACGAAAGCTTCCTCAGAGGAGAAACTTCATGATGGTTTGAAAAGTAAGTCTTCAGCATCTAATTATTTCTCAAGCTGATTCTCTAAGAATATGAAAGAAATTTCAAAAAATCTACATTTTAATTTCAGAGCTGTCATTCATGAGGTACTTCACAGCAGAAGTTTTCAGTGGAAAGCTGATGGAGCTTGAAGAAGAGAAATACACTGAAAGACGCCAGAAAGTGTACACGTTCATGAAGATTCCGAGGGAATTTGAGAAGGTAAATTGCAAATTAAAACAGCACATGATCATTATGTCACGTCTTTGGGAAAGAATCTTTGCTTTCATGGTACCTCTCTCTACCTGGTAGTCAAAAAAATCTGTCAGACTAGCAGGAAAGCCTGAAAGAATCGTGGCAGGTATCATTCAACAGAGTACAGGGTCAGAATCAACAACAGCTGTTTGTCAGTGCAATAGAAAATTGATAGTCATCAACCAGAATTAGTTATTGGCCTCATGTAGTTGACAACTGACTTTAAGTCTTGTCAATATTCTGTACCTAAACCAATGCTTAAGAAACAAAACTTTGCTTTTTTATAATAAATAGGTAGTCATTAACTGGTTATTACTCAAAGAAGGAATATATTTTGAGCAGATACTCATCATTAAAGCTTTGCAAGTTTGTATTTTACTTTGAGGTGACAATTTTATGAATCAGATTTTTTCATCAACCACAACTGTTCCATTTGGTGATTGAAACAAAAATGTTTAATCACCAGTGGCAAAAATGTTGATTTAATTCTGGAATTAACTGTGTTTGAAATCTGGAGTAGTTTGTATTAAGTCATAAATTCCACTCAAGGATCCAAGGTACTTGCATTATTCCAAGTTTTTTCAGATAAAGTTTTTCACACGCTTTTCATATAACTTTCACATGGCAAATTAAACAAGTGTATCTAGTTTTTCATATGAAATTTGTGAAGAAATTTGAGTGGTTCAGAAGACTACCCCTCCCCTAACCCAACAACAGTCAATTGATGCCAAGTCAGGGTTAATGTTGGTTTAGGGGAGGGGTAGGTGGGCAGTTGCCCAGATACTGATATTGATCCAGTGGTTCTATATATACAGATCCTCACCTGATTCATCATAACAACTTGATTTTACTATAAGTCCAATTTTCTATTTTTCTTTTTTGCAGTTGATGGTGTTTGGTTTCATGCTGTGCTTGGATTGTTTCCTGTTCATGTTTACATTTCTTCCAGTTCGTTTGGTTGTTGCTCTGTACAAGATCATTACAGGGCTGTTATTTTGTAGAACGTAAGACAAGAGCTATGCTTATTTACCTTTCATGTTGGTGAATGAAAAAATCTGTTCATAGCAGTTTCATAAAGCGCATGACAATATCAAAAATGACTACACTTCAGAGAAATTGAAAAATTTAGCCTTAATTCGATTCACAAGCTGTTGCATATCTTCTTTAAACAATATCTGTCAAACTTCTAGCAGTGCTCATCTCACAAGTTGCCATTCTTGATATTTTCATCGCACAGATCACGGATGCTACAGCCTGTCCAGATATGTGATTTGTTAAAAGGCAAGTCCTCATTTTATTTCTATGGCTAATTTATGTCTTTTTACTTGATGTATATTGTGCATCTGACAAAAACATCTCCTCATATGAGTCTGAATCATTTACAGGATCGATTCTCGTGACATGTTGGTTGCTTCTGACCCATGTGGACTTTTCAGTGTTGTATCACACTGTCCGTGGACAATCAGTCATCAAACTTTATGTCATTTACAACATGTTAGAGGTGCAGTTAATAAAAATCGTCATAGTTATTCTGATAGGCACTACTTAAGACTACAAGCAGTCCCTTCTTTTTGGCAAAATCCATCATGCAGGTCAGAAAAAAATCAATGAAAAAAAAATTGATACTGGGTGTGAAATGTGGGTGTGAGGCATATAAAAAGAAGAGAGTTCCACTCTCTATGCTGACAACAATAACTGATTTTTTTGTGATTTGGGCAATTGACTTTGCGGAAAAGGAGGGAGTGCTTGTAAATTAGTACTACTGTTGTAATCAAGGTTAGCCTGACTCATTCTTGATATAAGATTTGATTTTACAATTTGTTACAAGAATATAAAAAAAAAGGGAAAGTAGGTGAAACTTTTCAGGTTTTCAGTTCTTTTGCCATAAAAAAAAGTACAGAAGATGCTGATGCAGGCATGGATTAGAATGCCAATTTGCTTTTGGCAAAGTTCATTGTAAAGGGATAGTAACATTCTTCTCATATTTGTAACCACAGATTGCAGACAGGCTCTTTTCGTCTGTGGGCCAAGACATATTAGATGCTCTCTTCTGGACTGCGACAGAACCAAGAGACCGGAGAAGAGAACATATTGGGATAATTCCACATTTTGCAATGGCTGTAGTTTATGTGTGTATCCTTCACATGAATCACACATAAATTTTTTTTCAGTGGATAGGTTAGGGCTCTCGTACTTTATTGTTATCCCCTGCCACACCCCTCTTAAACAAAATAAGGCAATGAATCTCTTTGGGCATTTTTAATGAGGAAGCAAGGAGCCCCAAAGGGCCAGAGGAAAGCCCCCTTGGGGAAGGATGATGGGTAAAGAAACAACTGGAATGATGGAACGGACCAAATAAAGTGATCATATGGCAACCAAATGACAGTCAACAGCTAGCCAGGTGCAGCATGTAGGCCAGGGGCCAATCAAGTTTATCCCTAGGAATATGAACCAGTATGTAGGTCAGCAAAGGACCACATCATAATATGTGCTGTTTCAGATCATAGATACACAACCATTTGTAGCTGTTTGCCTTAATTCTTTTAGTTTTCCATGCTGTGTTGGTACTGTTCCAGGCCATCTGTCTCAATGTTGCTGTGAACTCACACAACAAAGCTTTGTTAGTAATCATGGTGTCAAACCAAGTAAGAGCATTATTGGTGTAGTTCTTAAGATTTTTTTGTGGAAAATGAAGTGGTTTGATGTTTAGCACACAATAGGATCCAAGATTGGAATCAACTGAACACAAATGAGACTGAGAATTGATTGTTGACAACAATGCTAGTCGCAAGCAGGCAACTTACTGAAAGTCTTTTTATAACTCAACTGGTGATTGTTCAGGAGCAGCTATATGTTTTAGTCAAAGAAGCAGAGGTATCAAAGGTCTTGATGCCATTGCATTTTGATTCTTTCGCAGTGAGAGCAAAATTTTATGAATAAAACTTTTTAGGGACCCAGTTGTGCCATAAGGCAATTGAAACAAAGAGGGTGATCATCATTTGCCTCCTGTGTAAAAAATTTACACATACTTTTGGACCTTGCTTTAGAGTCCAAGGCTCTAGCAGGCTAATTGATGACCAGAAATAGCAAGAGAAACTTAACTTGGTGGCTGCAGTTTTTTCTCTCAACATTTAGCCTTTGGTGACATTTATTCTTCTTGATTGTTACAGTTTGTTGAACTGAAAGGAAGTGTTTTCAAGAGGTTTGAGAAGAACAACTTGTTCCAAATGGCATGTAGCGGTAGGTGTTTGCAATTGCCATCTTCTCACCTGGTAATTTAAATAGATAAATAAGTGCCAAACAGTAATTAAGCTGGGAAATATGCACAGTCCTGAGTTATCAACCAGTTAGATACAAAACTGAAGCTTAGTTATCCCTTGCTGGAGGTTGTTTACATGTATTTATTTGAATTCTCATATGTAAGCTCCTTGGTGGTATTAATCTTTGATTACTTATTTTTGGTTCCATGGCTCTCCAGTGAAGAGCTCTCTTTAATTCACACACTGGTTGGAATAACATTTAACTGTTGTTCCCTTTTGACCATTTGGATAGATGTCTCTGAAGGTTTTTTTGCATCCCTTTTAGAGTTGTTTTTCTGAGATTACCTTTTTTCCATACACAGATATTAGAGAAAGATTTTACTACATTGTGTTGGTGGTGATTGTCACGCTTAGGAATTTAACAGAATTTAATTGGAACGCTGGTGAGTGTTATGGAACCTCATTGAAAGGAACACGTTGGGGAGTAGAGCTTTTTTCATCTTTGCAGCCACTTAGTAACTTTTGTTATTTTCAGAACACTTATATGTTATCTGTCCATATCTGTTGGCTGTGTTGTCTTCGGAGTATTTTGTGGATTGGATCAAACACGCTTTTATCACAAAATTCAACAGTATTCCTGTAGAGGTATGTCACGTTCACAGTTTTTTCCGATTTTTTTGTCAACAGTCCGGCATTTGAGTGATTTGCTACATTGCTTTGTTTGATTGGTTACAAAAAACTTGCATTCTGAGTAGTTAATCAACCAATGAGATGAAATGAAACAACAGTCGTAACATGGGCATTTTTCCGCACTTTACCGGGTGCCCTTTACAAGTTTCTTTTCTGTTAAAGTGTTTTGGATTCTAACAAGGTGGGAAGGGTGACCCGCATTGAACTTTCATCCTACCCAGGGAGAGTAACGGTAAGTCAGCAGTTGTCGATAAGAACGGGAACTTAACTTTTGTGTTACTTTGTCTTTTACCTTTTCTAACTTCCGTTAGGTTTACTGCGAATATAGAGCTCTCCTTGCTGAAGATGCGACTTCAAGTCGACAGAAGAACGTAAGAAAACGGAACAGTATTTGTTTTAAAAGTTTCCTAAAAACTTAGGAAGGATCCGCTTTAGGAATTTACTTTGAGGACTGTAGAGCAATTTTCAATTGAATGTCGAAAGTAAACCGTGATTGGATTGGTTTGCTTTACTTCGCTCTATGATTGGTCCAGAAAACACGCGCCACTTTCTCGACCAATCAGATTCAAATTAAAACCAATCAGTCAACCGCATTTTCCCGCGCTTCAAGCAGTTTTTATCTTTTTACTCTGAGTTCCTATTGGCTCTTCAGTCTTTTTTTCCTGTGTTCTAATTAGCTGTTATGATTACTAAAGTTTTGGTTTTGGTTACTTACTCGGGCTGGTAGGGAAGGAGGGTTTTTTTTGCTTCGCATGAAAACACCTCCTATAACTCTATACATTTATCTTTTTATTTTAAAAGGCTCACAACGATCATTTCGATCTCGTTTCTCGTCGAATGGGTTTTATTCCTCTTCCACTGGGATCACTGGTGAGTAGCTTCAGAGAGAGGGGTGAAGGGAGGGTAAGGTAGGGATACTCCCTTTTTATAACCGACAGGGTGGGGGCCAGTCGTTCTGCTGATCCCAAGGTTCCAGTTTCTCGTGTAAATCTTTAATTAAGTCGTATGTTGGACCCCGAGTTTTTGTGGTAATCAGAGAGTGTGCAATGAAAAACGCCTGAAAGGATTTTGTTTTATGGATTTTGGGGCAAGGTAAGTCAGAGACCCTTTCGAATTGAAGTACTCTTTGTTGTGCCAAAAAAAAAGGGAAAAAAAATGTTGTCGTAAGAACGGGACATTAAGCACCTAGAACAAATCACGAAGGCGACGGCAACGAGGACGTAGCAAAATAAAATATCTAATGAGCAGAAAAATAGTTTAGCACGTGCGTTTAAAAACCTTTTTTTCATGAGTGACCAAGACAGAATTTCTCCTTACAATATCAATAGAATATCAACCAAATAAGTGATGAGAATAAAGAAAATATCAATATGGGGATAATAAGTTGATCCAATACTAAATTCTCTGAACTAACATAAGAATTGTGTGGTTGACAATAAGGAGAATTACAAATTTGATCTAGGAGTTAAAGGTTAACCACCCACCCCCCGGTGAAACAACAACGTGAAATCCTAGATCGCAATGAAGGCTTGTTGGTATTTGACAGTATGTTGTGATGATGTTTTCAGGTTATTAAGGAGGTGGCCCAGTCTGTCAAGATACATGGCTTAGGTGGAATTGTTCTCATGTTGGCCACATTTGTCTTGTAAGTAACGTTGTACAATCAACATGGCTCTTACTATCATAACAAAATACTGTAGAAACGTAAATGTCCGTGGTGAGGTGTTCTGCTTCGCGACTAAAAACTGGTGTCAACGATTTTTGCACAGTGGTAGAATCTGCTATATTCAAACGGACAAGTAGACCACCAAGTCATTCCCTATAACGTTGAGAGCGCAGATATTCGCCTTAACCCCTTACATCCTCTCTTTTTTAAGAGACAAAATAGTTTTTCTTAGGAGCAAATATATTTTTGATCTAAAGCTCGATCTAACTTGCCAACTAATTTTCCATTGACAGCCTTATGTCAGTGAAAGTGTTAAACAGCATTATATTTCTCGGCAAAGCAACTCAGTACGTGAAACAGAAACAGGACCTGGAAACTAACAACAGACAACACAGTAACCAAGCCTCGACACAGAAGCTCAAAACCCAGGTCTCCGTGACTTTGTTGGATTCTGGCCAGTCTTCGAGTACTTCGTTAGTTGGAGAGAAACAAGATACAGGGCCGCGGAGAGCTGGTGAACAGACTAAACAACGCGCCAAAACACTAGCAGAAATTGATAGATACACACTTTGTAGTAAAGAGATAGTTGTATTCTAAAATGATCATAGCTCAGTATGAGTGATCCCACAGGAATGTGGGATTTGTTTTATTTATTTATGAAATTCAAATCCAAACCCTTGTTGATTGATATATATTAGTAAATAAAAATAATAGTTGAACATCAAGCTCTTCCTGTCATGTATTACACTAATGACGCGCTGAATTTCGATACTTGTCTCTGATTGGTTGAAGCCTCAACCAACCACTAACAACAAATAACTCTCTCTCCACCATTACGTCACCAAAATGAAATTTTACGAATTAAATGCCGCGCGCCCTTGCAGATGTAGAATTGAGAGAACAAACAAAGACGTAATACCAGTGCAAGATTTCTCAAGGTGCGCCATTTGCTTTCATCAAGTCCGTTCTCCAGGTCATCCTGATAGAGAGCCAAGACCATACCTGTGCGAACCACCTCTCGGCCCTGAGGGATCTTGGTACCAGACCAAACTCGTCCGAGTCTACACTTATGTTGATCACGCGCTATTTTGCACGGCGTAGTACTGAAGGGACGAATCGTGTAACAGCAAAACCTTACTTCCTTTTGTGACATTTGGCGATTATCACTACGTCCAGCTCCTACTACGTTGCGTTTGGGTTCTGTGACTGCTTAACTTCTCGAACTTGCCGCGAATACGTCCTCAGTCCTTTGCTTTCGCTGATCGTGCGAATTGCTGTAAAACACTGTTAAGGACTATAAGCAAATAAGTAAACTAATGCGGTTAGATGACAACGAAAGTGAAGAGTGAATTATAGGCCACGCCCCAGTTAAGGAGGAATGCCCCACCTTCAGGATAATGTTGTTGTTGTTTTAAAGGAGAGTGGGGGGGGGGGGGGGGGGGGGGGGAGGTTAGGGAGCCAAAGAGCATTCAAAACAGTACAGTCCCTTTATCAAATCTGGGCTTTTAATTAAACATAAACCGTTAGGTTCTTGTAAATTGTCCACACCACTTATGCGGTATGGTGAGAGGAAGCATACTTCACAGATCAGTACAGCATTTCAGACAACGTTCAGACACTACCCTCCTAGTCTTCATCCCCTACCCGTGGTAATAAGGAGGACCCGGCTCCCACCCAAAGATCCTGCCTTAATATTCAGACGCCTCTTTACGGAGATGAATTAAGAGCGCAAGGAAGTGAAGGTATGATTAAAGAGGCTCATGTTCCTTTTTCCTATGGTCCCTCGCGCGTTGTGTTCGTCACCAGTCACTCGCGCTCTGTGTCGGTTGTTTCCACTCGCTCAACATAGTGATCTCAAAACGCTTAAGTAGGAAACCGCTGCTTATTCCATGCAAACTCCATAAACAAGGATACGATAACCATGGGTTTCCCCTGCAGGATGTAACCGTGTGCATCTCTGAGAGCCTTTTTTGCCTTCTCTTCACTCGGTAATGTAACAAAAGCTTGGCCCTTCATGCGACCTTCTTTCATCAGCCGGATGTCAAATCTACAGCAAAACAGAGCAGTTTTGATCCACATAGAAAAACAAACTTCATACTTGTATTAACAGAAGGTGGAGCAGAATACGTGGCGTTATCTTTCCTACTCAGAATAATTCAACGTCATTTCATTTCGATTGAGGGTCGTAGAATCAGAACAAAAGCAGCCACTTTGAACAAAAATAAATGTTACGAGACAACGAGGATTTAAAAGAAAAAAAACAAACAAAAAAACAAGTAACCTGCCTAAAGCGCAGGAAAACGCGAGTGACCAAGTCCCTATTAGTTTTAGTTTTGATTGTGATTGGTTGAGAAGATGGCGCGATATCTTTAGAGCAATCACAGAACGAAGTGAAAATTCCTGATTACTCTGTTACTCTACCGCAACTTTATCAAAAGAGCAAGGAAAAAAAATCAAAGGTCAACAGTGATTTCTCAAAGGCTGTAATCGAGGAATCCAACAAAAGATTACCGATCTGGTCGATTACTGTAATTTCATTGAGACAGAGTTTACATCTAGTATGGTAAAATTTACTGAGGAAAATGATCGCCCAGCCGATCCAAGACATACCTCAAGGGTTTAAGTATGAGAATAACAAACAAAGTCTGACCCTCTGAGATAACCTCTCTCAGCCATTTCTACATATTGACGTAGATCCAAGACATACCTCAAGGGGTTAAGTATGAGAATAACAAACAAAGTCTGACCCTCTGAGATAACCTCTCTCAGCCATTTCTACATATTCTCACGTAAATAAGAAGTTTCATTTCCATTCAATACCTGTCTCTCTCTTCTTCCAGATTGATATCTATGTATCGACCAAAAATGTACTTGAGATCCTAGAAACAAAATTAATTCACCTTAGCACTCAATTGATTCTAAAACATGGACAAGAAAATTAAAATCTGTCGCGGAAACCAAATGTAATTATATTTCGCCTCACGTTTCATTATTAGCTATAGAAAAAACTGAAGAAGCCAAATCTAAGCTTTGAGGACAAGAATTGTGAAATGGAGACCAACATTTATCACAACGGCCATAAAGAAAGGAGGAGATAACACAAAGATCCAATCAGAAATCCAGTAAAAATACGCAAACGGCCTGAAGCAGAGTTACATTTGGTGTTGGGATTCTATCTGATTGGTTGAGAGGATGAAGTACGAAGACAACTTTTACACTCAATTGAAAACTGCTCTTAACCCTTTGACTCTCGTGAGTGACCAAGACGGAATTTCTCCTTACTATATCTATACAATATCATGCAGACAAGTGATGAGAATGAGGAAAAATATCAATTATGGGATTACTAATTGATCTGATACCAAATTCTCCAAAATAACATAAAGAGAATCATTTGGCAGACAGTAAGGAGAATTACTAATGAGATCTTGGGAGTTAAAGGGTTAAACAGACAAGAGCAATAAACTTCAGTTGAAATACCTGGGATCTTTCTTTATGTATTTACGCAGTAATTCAAAGGGAGAGTCGACATTCGGCAATTCATGAGCGTGCTTGATTAAAAGTGGCGATAAATGCCCATAAATATCAACATTAATGAACAGGCGAATCCCTTACCTTCTCTTCGACTGTTTTTGCCAGATTTTTAATGTAAAGCCTGCATGTCGGATCTCCGGGTGTATAATTCTTGAAAGCAGAAATCTCCGGCATTTCTGCGCAATAAAACCAACATGAAGTCATTAGGCACACAGAGACGTAAGAAGGAGTTTACAGAAGTAGTGTTGATGAGGAGGGAGGAGAGGGGGAAACGGGAGGGGGCATGTCCCCCCCCCCCCCCAAATTTTCCAACTGGAATTTCAAGGTATGTCAGGTTGTTAAATTATTATAAATTACCACTCCTTACAAAGATGAACGTCACATGTATCACAGGTGAGAGCGTGTAAACATCAACTAAAACTTGATTTTTTTACCTTTGGTACTTATTCTGTTTCTGCGCAGTTCGGCGGATGAGATAAATTCGCTACTTTCCTCAGAAACAGACTCCTCTTCCTCTTCTTCTTCTTCAAGTTCATCCTTGTCATCTTCAAGATCCGCTGGAGGCTCAAATCTACCAAACCCTTCTGCCTCTGGAGGCGCAACAGCTGTGGACGGAAGTCAAGGGCATGTAACAAGTAACAAACTGGCTGGGTCTCTGATCAAGCAATTTCATAGCTAACTAAAAGATCGTGGACTAATTCACTCGCAGCCACTAGTCAGCGTATTCCGAATGACTGTCGTAAAGCCGAAACCAAAGTAATCGCAACGACCAATCATTATGTGATTCGCTCAGGTTGTCGAAACGTCAGTCACCACTATATCGAAAATAGTCCTTTTCAGAACCGACTACTCTCACCCGGACGATCAGAGTACACGATCAAATGTTACCCCCTTGTTCCAACCATTTAACTATATATCGAATAATTGGGCTTGTTTCACTAAAAATCCCCTTCTAGAACACATCAAACGAGAAACTTGCATAATACCTGTAGCCTCAGTATATGCTGCAGATTCAAATATATTTGAGATGGCCTCTATGAGCTTGAACTCAATCCTCTTTGGTTGGCCGGAAGGCTGTTCAAATGCTTTCTCTACAGGTATTTGTTTGGTTGAAGAACTTGCCTTGACTTTCTTGGCTGGTGGTTTTGATGTTGGAAGGTTTACTTTGGGTCTTTTCTGAGCACTTTTGCCTGGTTTGGAAGCAGACATTCTTTGGGCATGTTCAGCCCTTTCTTTCGCTCTAAAATTGCAAAAGAGTCCTTAATGACCCAAAAGAAACTGAAATACACATCTCCGTACATTCTGACAGGTTCTTTCTCTAGCGCACGCTAAGGAACTATTGTCTGTGGCGACTAGCTTAGCTCTAAACAGGGGCTCTCTGACTGATTGTTATGATATTTCTCAGTTAGTTCGTGCGCTATGATTGGTCGATTTAGCAGGCCGTATTTCACAGTACGGTCCGCTAAATTCAACATTTAGGTTGAATTCAAATCTTCCCCCTCTGCTTGAACCCGGAGATGTAATTAATCTTTCACTAAACTCGTTTTCTCGGTCCGTATTGTAACTTATGGAACCTTGTTTTTTCCACTAACATTTATTGCCCGCTCACTTCGCGCTTGGGCGTACATCCGAACGGAAAAAAACTCCGTCTGTAACTTGAAGTACGAACCTCGAACTCAGTTGGTAAGAGGTATGTCTTAGTAAGAGTGCGCATTGCCTTCTGGCTGCTGTTTGCATCTCATCTTTCCCCACAATTCCCACAGATCAACACCAAAGGAAGCGGAAACTAAAGTCACCAAAATATTTTGCGTGTAGGAGAATGTTCACTTATAATCCCCGCATGGGATTCAACTCCATTGTAGGGTTATACCCCCCTTCCCCCCCCCCCCCCCATATTCATACGCTTCCCTTTAGCTTCACCAAGACCCATTTATTCTCACAGGGAGATGAGCCCTGTGAGAGTAAATGTCCTGCCCAAGGGTACAACATATTGGCCTAGTATACATGTACTAAGAACTTGACTTAGATCTTTCATTTCAGAGTCCATCACTCTGATCACCAAGCCAACAAATGGCCCAAGTTATCGGTGTGGAACAGACTTTTTGCGAAAAATTGCGTAGCTTCAAAACACAAATGCATGATTAAGTCTTACACCACATCCCACAAAAACAGCAACTACATATAACCTTTTCTCCCTTTCTTCTTCATCGCTCTCTAACTCGGACTCGTCGCTGGACATAGATCTGTCGTCATCTGATGAAGCCACCTGCGGTGCTTCTGGTACTTCACCTAACTTGAAAAACAACAGGAAGCCCATGACTGCTGAGTTTCAAAGTAATTGACACAGCTATTTTTTCCTTGAGGTAAACTTGTTTCTTTGTTTGTTTGCTTTTTGGAGTTTCAGACTTTCCAAAAGCTTTCCCTACAACCAAATGCTGTATTAAGTTCCAATAAATACATTCATTAACCTTTAATTGACAGAGACTGGACTCTTACTTCTTCATTAAAGAAATGATTTCTCACAAGGGGAGCCAAGAGAATCTTAAGTAGTTAACTCTAATTAATAAATTTATTGTACTTAAATTGACAGAGACTGGACGCTAGCCTCTATGTCAAAGAAATAATTTTTACATAAGGGGAGTCAAGAGAAACTCACATGCAGCACTGTAGATACTTACAAAGGGTGGGGTGGGGGTAATTTGTCCAAATGGAGCAGGAAGATTCATTTTGTTCATCAGATGCAAAACCTAGGAACAAAAATATTAAAAATGAATACTTACTCCCCTAAACAACAAGAAAAAGTGGCAACTCACACTCAACAGTTGAACTGAAGCTTGAAAATTTACATCTAATTCAGCCTCCCAGATGGTACAAACTTAAGTTTAGAACAAAGCAAAATCAAATTTAGAAAACTTTGAAGCATAAATTTAAAACTAATAAACAATGATGCTTGGGAAAACAATTGAATATCATGATATCATTTTTCCAGAAGTTATGGCAACAATGGAAGAGGAGTAGTTCATAAACAATTAACTGCTAATGCTAATCAATCCTTTAACTCCCACAAGTGACCAAGACAGAATTTCTCCTCACAATATCAATACAATATCAATCAGACAGGTGATGAGAATAAAGAAAAATATAAGTTTGAGGATTTTCTAGTTGATCCAGTACCAAATTCTCAGAACTAGCATCATAAAAATTGTATGGCAGACAGTAAGGAGAATTACTCATGAGATCTTGGGCGCTAAAAGGTTAAGAAATAGATTGCATGCTGCTGTGCCTCCATTCAGTAATAGATTACAGATGATGCTCAATTGTTTTAAGAACAAAAGAGATGTGTTACTGCAGCTGTTCTTGCCACATTGACATCTTCTGTGAAATTTTAATGAACAGACCCATGACAACATGGAATCTATTTGTTTTATACATCAAAGAAAAAAACACTTTGTCCTTCATTACTTCATAACAAAGAACCAATCAAATGTAGCTTACAGTATAATTTGATACTCATACCTGGACATAAAATTTTGGAACACATGCCAATGTGTGGGCGATGTTGGTGAGAATTGCAGTGTTTACTGGAGGGTAGACATAGTGAAGACTTGGGTTGCAATTGTACTTAATTCTGGAACAAAGAAACTATAATTTAGTTTTTCTAAAATACTTTAAAGCTAAGGCACATCAAACAAACCTGCTCAGCTCGTAATAATGAAACATCAATTTAATAATTCAAACTGAAATTCTAGACACTGAAATCATGTTCAAAAAAATATATTCAAATCTATATTTGTACCACAACATTGAATACTAAGTCTATGATTTCCCTCCAAACAATCAGGAAGAAAAATTTAGCTTAAATAAGAAAGTGTGAAACATGAACATTTAGGTTTAATTAATAGCTCCAAAAAAAGTAAAAAAAAGGTAATAATGACTGTCATTTGACAAAAGCATACCAACTTTCACATACACATGTAAGAAGTATAGTTTTAATGCTTAAAAGCCTCTGCAATTTATCAATATCAACTTTAAAAAAATCTACGATACTAAATATAAATCATTCTAACAAACTAATGTCTGCATCAATAATCAAAAAGAATTTTGACAAAAGGTCTATAAAATAAATTGAAAAAAACTTACTAGTGAAGTCTTTGTTCAGAAACATTTAAAAAAAATAAATTGTGCTTTTTGATGAGAGAGCTTTCTTGAAAACTAAGAGAATAAAAATATTATTTGAAAAAAAGAGCACACCAAATGGAAATTATTTTAAACAATATGTCTGGAACAGTATCCTCCATGAATTAAACATACAGGAATTGATAATAGACTAGTAATTAGAAGCCAGACACGTACGTGCATCTTAAATAACCTAAAGAGAGTTCCTGGTTATGATAAAAACCAACAAAAGGATCATCCATAAAAAAATAAATACAATTACTCTTAATGGCCTTTTTTTTATATATTCAGGATTGGTTCAGATTAATGATCACTAATAACTTTAGACATAATGGCTCCCTAGGCTATCTTCCATTATCGTTTTTGTTCGAAAATTGACAATCAAATGAAAAAAAAATTACAGATGACCATTTAAGTGTCAAAAAGTGAAAAGGTGACTGTAAACAATATATCAGCCTTGACAAGTTGCATTCATTGCTTTTATCTCTGTTGTCCTAGCTACTAAAGCATAAAACTTTAAATTTCACCTCTGTCGCTTATTCTGTACAAATGAAAGCCAAACTGTCTGTGTACCAACAATCATGCGGAGACATGTACATTTGTAACATCAATAAGAAAAAAAAGGTTTAATTAACATGTAAATCAAATATTTAAGCCATTATCTTAGCAGCTGAGCTGCAATTTTTAATTGACAATTGCAGAAATGAAGCCTACAGTAAAATTTAGGCTTGGACGGGATTTGAATCCATGCCTCTAACAAACCAGTTGGGTCTTACTACCAACTAAGCTAAATTACAGCCACATGTTGGGAACAAGGCAAATTCATCACTGATTACTACTGAACCAACAATCAAAAAATAGTGACTGAGAAATTCTGATTAGCATAATATTTACTAGGTTTGTCATACCCTAAACTTGGTGCCATGCCTTGTGTGTCACCAGACTTCACTTTAACTTTGCTACCAGCTTGTTCTGTCTCCAATTTTCTTGTTTCTTTGTCATCGTTTTTGTTTTCATCCAGTGCTATTGAAGGGGAGACCCTTAAAATTACACAGTCAATAAAACAGTTTAACCCTTTAACGCCTAAGAGTGACAAGCATCTCAATTCTCCTAACAATAACACCCCTGAATCACACGTTAAGGTCAAGACAAGAAAGGAAATGATAATCAACTAAAGAACCTCTTGATTGTTAGACAAATTCTCCCTATCAGCACATTAGGAATGTATAGAGAACAGTATGGAGAATATGCATTCTGATGTTAGGATGTAAAGGGTTAAGTTTGTATCTAGCAATGTTCAATTTACAAGTTTGAGAGGATAAAGTAGTTTGCAGTTTCCATAGTATTCATTTATTTTCCACAAAAGATCATTATAATGAAACAAAGACAGTGCCATATATTATATTACTTACAACCTCTTTGATTCAGACAACATCATACTGTGAGGCACCAAAATTTTACAAGAGTTAAATTTTGCACTTTGGCTGCTTTTTGTCCTATGCTGAAAAACTTTTTTGGGATATACACTGTACCTGAAGTTTTTGCAGGGAGCTTTAATTTTTTTAAATTTGTTTTTAGTTTAATCAAGCAAAAGAACAAAAAGGACAAAAAGCTGATTGCCAAATTTTTTCAAATTATTGAATAACAGAGAGGAGAGCTAAGGAGACTATCATACACCAATACGTTAAATTCATACCAGTTTTCTGTAAATTTTTCTTTGTTTAACCACAGTCATGATAAAAGTGAAAAAATTAAAAGGAAAATGCGAATCAAATCAGCCTAAAATCATTCTGACCAAGAATTAATTTTCAATTACAAGGGATACAAGGTGAGTTTCTGTAAGTCTGAAGGTGGGATATTTTTGCAGCTATTTGTTTTGCTGGATTTTACAAGGACAAGTTTTGGTGGATCAGGTCAAAGTGTGTCTGCTGGTGGGAGGGTCAAAAATGTTCTATATATTATCATGACTGTAACTTAATACAACACAGAAATTCCAAATAGCACAAATTTACCTGCTACACTGTTGAGCTGCAAGGTGTTCATGATGAGGTTTAGCATACTCTACTGTCAATCGGCTGCCAAGAACCTCAGACTGGTGTAACTGAGAAATAGCCTGTGAAGTATAAAAATGTATAACATATGCTGGGTTGCAGTACCAACTGGCATTTTATTCTAGCAGGAATTAGTAATCTGCCACAACCAGGTATAAAGTTACTGAGACACTGCAAGCTGTAAGAACAATCCTCCTTTCAAACTGCACCACCATTAACAAAACCCAGTCTTCTCTCCCCTTCATATTTAGAGTTAATACATGCAGTTTAAAGTGCAGTTCTGCTGTGCTGCAGGCAAAGTCAAAGGAGGGAGGGGAGAGGGGGGGGATGTAGAAATGAGATGACCAGGATCATGGAGATGTTACTTGAGTTCTTATGGAGTAAAATGTCTTGAGCAGCTAATATTTCCACCAGTTTAAGCATGACAAACAAGAACTCAGAGAGAAACATTTCAATGAATAGATTAGTACCCTTGCACAATTATGATAATAATGCCTTAGTACATGCAGGTAAAGTCAAACCAAGTGGTCCATCCAGCCTGAGCCTATATTGGTTTTTCATAGCATGAAGCCACTAAGATTTTTACTACTACCCCCTGGATGGGATGCCACTTCATTGCAAGGATATCCCCCAACCCCCCAGCATTTCATCAAGTTTTCCTGACAATTCACCAGTTCTCATTTACACTCCAGAGTGGGAAGAGGCAATGTGAAAGTTAAGTGTTTTGCCTAAGAACACGACACAATAACCCAGCCAGGTCTAGAACAGATTAGAACTCAAAGATTCCAGTGTCATGGTCTAGCCTTTTTTCACAGGTTAATGCTTCACATGGACTGTAAAAGACCTATTTATGCCCTCTGCCACTCAACAGACCTGTCCAGGAACAACTGCATCACTGTTTAACCCTAAGGGTTGACTTGTATGTAATTTCTCCCTACAGTATCTCTGCTGAATCACACAATAAGGTCATGACAATAAAAAAAATGATAAAAAAAAAATCAGTGAAGCTCTTGATTATCAAACAAATTCTCCGTGTCAGTATCCTAGGAAGTACAAAGAGAACAGTATGGAGAATATGCCTACTGATGTTAGGGTGTAAAGGGTTGAATAAATACAAATAGAAACCTACCTGAGCAGCTTGTGCCTGGGTGGAAAACTCAGCAAAAGCAGCATCTCTCTGAAAATGAAGATCAGTAAACCCAGACATTGATTATCTATCCGTCAGTGTTTGACTTATCTGTAAAAATTTCGCTGTCTTGCATCACTACACATAATATTTTGCTCAATTTTCAGAAATTCACGACATCGATATTTAGAGCAAAACAAGAAAATAAAGCATTTTTAATCTTCGAATTCTTCCACCTAAGCCCATTAAATAGTCACCCTGTTTTCAAGAAAGTATCATCTCCAATTACAAAAAATAAATTCATTGGTTGATCTTAACAGTATGCAGAAAACCTGTCATGTGTCAGTAAATAAATTTTGGCTGTTAAAACGCTAGTGTGAGAGCATGTCAAGCTTGCCTCGATCATTCTCAACAATCGTTTCAGGTTTCTGTTCCATATTTGAGTCAAAATTTAACACAGAAATTATTTAATACCCACCAGTTTTCCTCTCCTTTCCATACATATTACTTCTTTAGCTCCGAAATGTTTTAGTAAATCCGTTTTCTCGTGCACACCAAGCTGAGAGGGCAAATGTCTCACTAACAACTTCGTTGACATGTCGTCCGCCATTTTGAAATAAAGGGCATTACCGCTGACCTTCCTTAGAGGACTTGACATGACAAGTAAAGGATGGTAAGAGTGGTGAGGGGATATGAGTTGAATATAATCTGATTAACCCCCCACCCTCCCTTCCCTTCCCACTTAAAACAGATAACAGATGAACAGAAGCTTAATGAAACCTCACACAAAGGTTATGTAGAATTTTCTAAATACTCTTGGTATGTAATTGCCTGGAAATTACTTCATCCTGCATTTATGGTTCTTGTGGATGAACAATTTTGTCTTGAACTCTTGAATTAGGTCTGCAATTCCAGGGCTATGTAGACTTCATAAGCAGTGATATGAATCTAACAAGTGCACATGGGCATATCCACTCCAAGTTTTGATTCATATAATGGCAACAACCATCCCTCCACGCACACACCCCCACCTCCCACCCCTAGCCCACATCTCCTCACAATTTTGTCAGGCACCTTTCATTTTATTAGAATTCAGCTCAGTGGCAAAGCTCAAAGTTCATAAAAAATGAAAAATGAATTAACATGCTTGTCAAGTTTCCCTTGTTTGTGTCATTCCAAACTTGCTGGAAGGCAGCTTGAGAGCAGAATTTTGAATCTTTGGTATCTCAAAAAGCCTGCTCTTTGACTTTGTGCATTCAGGCATGCACCGGACAAAGTATGCAAAGACCAGTGAAAGCTTTTGCTTTATTGGGAAACCCCTCCCTCCTTCTCAGAACTAAATATCAATTCTCTACACAGTCTGCTGCACATTTCTTCAAATTTCAGCTCAGATAATTTGTGTATATTTTTCTTTCCTCTCATTTCCAACATGCCAAACATTTTGTAGCTGTTTTTAGGAGAACTTACTCCTTGGTCACTGCAGGGAGTGAAAGGGTCAAAATTCAGCTTAATAATTTAGAGTACATAAATAATCTTAATTCAGAGTACATTCACTCTGATGAAGGGCTAGGGCTCAAAACATCAGCTTTGAAACTCTCTACAGTGGTCAATTTACATTGTCAACTTGGTTGTAATATTAAATTTCGCAGTAATAAAATTAGAGCATGGAGGGTCCACAGCAGAAAAGTTGGAAATCAGTATACTGGCACTTTCTATTTCATTTTTATGTGCTCTCTCATTCCATTCATCCTTGAAAGTAGGATATTGATAAAATTCAATGAAGCATTTTTCACATGTGAGACCTAGGGTTTAAAGTGCCTGATTTGAGACTTTGTTACAGATCAAAGCTATCCTGCTATTTTCTGTTCATGTGACCAGATTAAAAAAAAAATCCCAGCCACTATTAACCCAAAACGTACCCAAATGATCCCGGTAAATTATCCCCCCAAAATGAAGAACTTTGCACTTTGTACCATTCCTAAGTTAAGGCTTGAAAATGTGACTAAATTTTCACTGCTCAATAAACAGTGAAGCTCCTAAATCAGGAAACATAATTCTCATTTTCTGGACTCAATAATCCTTTTGTCTTTGCTGTACACATTATCTCTGTCAGATGAAAGCTCTTGACAAAAAATAGATCTGTAACTTTGGACAGAGAGCAATACCTCTTCAACAGCCAATGAAACAGGTGTTACTGGCTCACAAGATCCCCAGGTGCAGACAACTTACACCGTTCAGCCTCTCATGTGGGCCTAGGTTAAGGTCACTGAGGGTTATACAAATGAAATTATTACTTCTCCCAAGAAGAGGAGAAAGAGCACTGCATGATGAAAACAAATTACAGTGACTATGCAAGAGGATCAGTGAGAGAAACCCCTTGTGCAAGAGGGTGTTGGTCCTTCCATAACACTTAAAACCACTGCAGTCAAGATGGAACCTACTTTGCTAATTGCACTACTCTACAACCGAAAAATGTACAAGCCAAACACCGGATTCCTTCACAATGAAAACATTTGGGGCAAAAGAAAAGATCACAACTCAAACTGTTTATACCCTTTCAAAACAGAAACACTGGGTAATTAGGGAGTAGAGTGTGTTGATTTTGGACCACCATATCTTGCATGCTATGTTCAATCCAAAAGTGATGGCAGTTTAATTATATCCAAATTGAAAACCCAAGAATTTAATCACTGATCAGGAGGGACCCTTGCATGCAATATTTCATTAGGAAAAATGACCTAGAGTAACATTGGCACCTTCCCTTCTACAATTTCTTTCAGATTTCCAATAATTCTCCCTTTGTTGAGGGCAAGAGCTGAAAGTTGAGCTCAAATTGATCATAACTGGCAAAAGCAAAAACCAAAAGGTGGTCACTTTCAACAAAGTCTTACCAAATTATTCTCTTATTATTTCCTTTCATATCTTTGGAAAAGAACATGCAGCCTCAGGCAGTCAAATTCCCACCCCCGAAAAAATGCATTGCAGATGTTTCCAACTGATGTTTCACTTCATATTCCTCTCAGAACAAACATTGTACAAGGGAAGGCTGGTGTAACACCACCAAATTTTACAAAGAGGGAAGCAGAAATAAAGCCTTACTCTGTTACCCCAAATAATTGGGTCAATATGTTTCTCACCTTTCAGTCTAGCACAATACATTATTTTAGACCACTTTCTGATGTTTAGAGGGAGCCTTTAAATTTTTGTTGACATTCTTCAGTGACACTTGACTAAACTTTAATATTGTTAATCAGAGTACTGTTGACAAAAAGGATTATCAATTTTCAATTCTGACGGATAAAAATTAACAGATATTGCCATGTATCACAAACCCACTTAGTTTCATGTCTACCCCATTCTGGCTCCAATTTGCCAGGCCACACATAGAAAACCACACTAAGAAAACTACTCTTTTCCTTTGAAAAAAATTCTAGTTCTTTTCATTAAAAAAAATGTTGGAACACCTTCAAACTCACTGCATGAATATTACTTAACACCTTTTCTGAACCAATATCATACAGAACAACCTCACAAGAGGTCTTCTCATTTCACAAATCCTTCTAAATATAATCACACTTAAGATGTAAAGCATGATACCATCCACTTCACTTTGTTTTAACCCTTTATAACAGGTTCCAACTAGACAGGGCACAACAATATGTTCCATTTTTAAAGGTGCAAAGTCTTCTGGAGACATGCTAATTATTGCATTAATTTTTTCAAGTGATTTTGACAATTTTTCTCTCCAAGTTTAACCCCTTGGCAACTAGAATGAGTAACGCAAGCCGCACATGCAAAATAAACCAACACTCATATGATTGCTCAGTTTTAATTTCAACTCTTAAGTATAATTTAACAATACATTTTACAGGAGACAGTCTCTTAATGTCTACATACTCAAAACACTTGAATTCCATTGAGACAACATTCACTCTGACTCTGTTAGACCTAACTATCATGTACAGCACACCATTTCTAAACGAAAAATACAATGCTACACCTTTCGAATTCCATAGCATTTCAACAATAAGGTCTGAAAAAATATTTTGGAAAGTGAAGTGTAAAACTGAGGTATCAGGACTTCATTGTTTACATGTATATCAACTTGTGAGTTTCACAAGGCCACTACAAATGGTGGCAAGATACCAATATCACAATAATACTATGCAAATTAGAAGGGTAGCAAACTTTTTTCAATTTTCTTGCCTCTCTGTAGTTCCAGCTATCAACAAACTGTTTCACTTTGTGATCAAGAATTAAAAAATAAATGGAAAATAATTGTATATTTAGGCCTTTCTGCTCCCAAAAATTTGTCTTTAATGAGGGAACACTAAATAATTACGGCTTAGACTTAATTCACTACTACAATTTGCAATAATATGCAGGGGGAAAAAATTAAAGTATTTTTGTCTCTACAATCAGCAATAGAACAGCATGCAATTTGTGCTACAATACCAAAATTTTAAGACAAATTTGCGGCAAGGCACTAAAAAGGCCTTCCAAACAAAACGGATGCATGCAAAACAAAAACTAATACACTACGATATGAACATATAAATTACTCTACTTCTTTAGATTTATTATTGTAATGTCGCTTGGTGTTGACTCCAAACTTTACCAAAAAAACTATTATCCTCTTAGCAAGTCTTAGATGTTCTCGGTTCGTCTTCTCGAGTAAAAAGAAAAATTAACACACGCTTCGGGTTAGCCTTAAGTTAGTAAGGGATACTCAATCCACTTGCCATAATAAACATCACAAACACGTGTAAAATCTACGGAAGGCGAAAGCATCGTGAAAATCGGGAGGGTTTAACCCCCCACAACAAAATTAGATATTAAATCCCAATTAGATTGTCCAAAGCATATCTTTGCTCTCACGTCCACGTATTCATCGATTCTCGTCATTTGTGCAAGTTTTCACAGTTTACATAGAACATCACTACTGAATCGCAAAAGAAAGCAGCTAATTTTAATCCTGTTCGAAATAGGAAAGACTCGAACAAGATTAGAACATACTTCTGTAAATATTTACCGAATGTGGTATAACGTTCGAGTGAGAGCAGACGAGTTAAAGGGGTTCTACTAAATAACTTCAAATTCCAGCATAATAAATGAATATAGATATTTATTGTCGAGAATTCAAAGAAAGAGCTTATACTTAACCTTACATAAATACCGTGGTTCCTTTCCGATTCAATTTGTTACCACATAACTCACGACTAGTCAATGTTGTGTCTCAAAATTAATATCCACTACGACTAGACGAAATTTATAGCGCAGGTACCAGAGCGATGAATATTGCTTCGTGAGTATTATTACACTACTTTCAAGTTTCTCATAACAATCAAAATATTATAATAAAAAATTAATGTCTTTGTACTGATGTAACCGAGCGAGATCGCTGCTACTTAATTCGAAAATCGCTATCTTCTGAAGCCCCACCTAAATTGTGAGAATGACACACCTTCGCAAAATTACACCGATTTCGGGTTTTCAACCGAATTCCATCTCAACGGGGCTGCTTCTATCAAAATGACCAACTTTTGTCTCGATTTTAACGGTCAAATACTGGCAATGAAATAGAGGAATAGTGAATAATAATCAGGAAGAATCGAGAATGGATTTACAGTCACGAATCGATCGCGCGTTGAACTACTCAAATTTCCCTCGCAACGGCGAGTGAGCAGCGATTCAATGAATGATCCAGGCATAACACACAACCTCTCTCTCTCTCTCTCTCCGAGCAAAAAAATCTGTGCACGTCTCGCAGGTAAGCAAGGAAAAATAATACTTACAAAAAGGAACATACGTCCCTAGATTGAACGCCTAAAGTAATTCATTAGTATTCGGTTAGGTTATAGAAGCATTTTGTTTGCTCAAAGTTCACATAAAACGAATTTGAAAAGCTTACGGTTTATTCCTGAGCGGCTTCCTCGGGTTTAGGTTCCTCACCTCCATCGCCGTTGACCACGGGAGTTTCTTCCTCTTTCTTTTCTTCTGATTCCTTGGCCTCCTCCTCTTTTGATTCCTCCGCTTGTTCCTTTGGTTCTTCGGCGGCTGCCTCTTCCGTTGCATCTCCATTTACCACGGGCTCCTCTCCATTCTTTTCGTCTCCCTCTCCTTCTTTCTTTTCTTCGGTTTCTTTTTCTCCGCTGGCTTCGCCTTCTTTGCTCTCGGCTGCTGGCTCTTGGGACTTGGTCCTCTTTTTCTTTTTGACACTTAGCCTTGATTTGGGTCGTGTTTCTTCGACTTGCTCCTCAGAGGAAAGATCATTCCAGTCTAGCCAATAATTATTCTTCATCTGGTGGCAGAAATCGACTAGATTTTTCAAATCTTCATTCACAACTTTGGCCAGGGGCGAGTTTTCGGCCGTGTGCAACAAGCATGACAGCAGGCCAAACACCGTGCAATCGATAGTAGTGGGCTCTGAACCCATGAAGAACTCTTTGTCGCCCAGGAACGCTGATAGCGCACGAAGATCCTTCTCGCCGATAGCATAAATTTCTTCTTTGTTATGCTTGCCAATTTCGTGCGCTTCTAAGCACTTCACGCACTTGCCTTGATCGAGCTTCGGGCGTACATTCTTTCTGACAACATCCAGCCCTTTGAAGTATTTCTTGGTTTCTGCGAAGTTATCCACCCATCGGTAATACATCAGACTCCAGAACGTGTTTTCCTCGACCATACTTTGAAAAGCTCGCGAGCAAGCTTTGTCCATATCACTCAAATTTGCATCGGGGTCCACTCCGAACTTGGAATTAAGGAAGCCTATGAGGTCGTGTTTCTTTGTCTCGCCTTGATATTCGATGTACGGTAACTTCTGATCAGTACCAGGTTTGTAAACGTTTTCGTAAGGGATCTTCAGCATACGGCAATACGTTTCAACTTTAATACAGGCGGGGAGGGGCGAGGGAATAGCATTCCACGGTGGATGTTGATACAGTGAAACTTTTGGCGGTACGGCTCCATTAGCATCTTCTTGTTTTTCGCCGTCGACGACCGCATTCTCCTCGTCCGGCTTGTTTTCATTTGCCTGCTCCTCATTCTTCTCCTCGACATGATTCTCTTCGGGTTTTTCGACCTCTTCGGTTTTCGTTTCGATCGGATCGATCTCAATATCCACAGGCGGTGATTCAACTTCTGTCGCCATCCTTACGCTTCGAAATCAGCAAAAGTTATGCTCAATGATCAAGGCTTCGATCAGCTACAACGCCTTTCTGTAGCCAACTAAGGCCAAGCCCAACAATGACCTTTAGCTTACTTGAGCACCACGCGTTATTAGCACGTTTCAAGTTTATAAATTGACGGTATTGTCAAAATATTGGCCAATCGAAAGTTGTCTTAAATTCACAAACCAATCACGTGCGTTGTTGCTTAGGTTGGCAAAGTTATGGGTGTGAGGTATAACAAAATGCCGAAGTGGGGTGGTGCTGGGGCAGACAGATTGAAATACACAAAGAGAAAACGTTTTGTGCATCAAAAGAAGTGCCAAACTGCAAACAAAGGAGGTAATTTTCGTTTGACAACTCAATAAAACCGTGTAAATGTTCTGCGTGAGCGAAATTCTTCGCAGAGAGATTCAAACGGTCCGACTGCACATTTTTCTTCGGAGCTTTTCTCTCGATCGCTGCGTGATATTCTAACGATTGCATGATTTTATCTTTTCCTCGATATTCTTTTGAGTGGGGCTGGATCGATTAAATTAGTCTCACTCGAAATCGCGTTGAAGTTAGGATCCATTACACGGAACAGCGACACCAAAATACTGGTTGGAGAAAAGAAACGAACTTGTTCGTGATAACGGCGGGAACAGAACATTACATACCGGTCAAAAATTATTTTGATTGTCGATTGAGCAACTTTACGTCGTAGGGGGGTCAAAATTTTAATCTAGTCTTTTTCTCACACACCTGAATTGAAATTTTACTGAAATGGGCGGGAGTAAACACGGCTTTAATACAATAAATATGTGACGTAATCGAGACAAGGAATAAGCAACAATTCCCTCTGTGTCTTTTATAGTGCAAAGTTCTGTCCCAAAGTCTTCCGTTCGACCATTTGGTCTAAAAAGATAAATTGTGAATATATTAAAGTTAAAATCTATTTCACGTCGAGATGAATCGGCGCTCCTAAATATTTTGTAGAGGCAGAAAAGGGCCAAAATGTGGTCGTGTTTTGAACATTTCTCAACAATCTTATTTCGAAGTTTGCGTTAATTAATCAGTGGTTAAACGCCTGAAAAATGCAAATTTTAGATTCGCCGTTTTGTCAAATTTTATCAATAATAATTTCGAGCCGAATAGAAATAACTGCGGTGTAAGTATGATGCAAGCGACACAATTGTAAAAAAAATAACTAAGTGCAAGTCGAACTTTGAACGATCGATGTTATGAAACGAACCGTTGTGAAACGAACACAATTTTTTATTGGCACTTAATTTGTGATGATTTGTCGACAGACTAAATGTTGCCATGATGCTATCGTGCTCAATAAAACTGTTTTTTTTTGTGTGTGTGTGTGTGTGTCTTAAAAAGATAGTCGCAATTAAAAATATAGGAATTTTGGGGTGAAATTTATTGCGTAGACGAATTGAAACTTTCTCCCATAGCCAGGAGGTTAAGGGTTATGCAACTATGATTTCATTATTCACAGCTTATGTCCTCATTGGCATAAACTTGTAAATAAAACGCCCAGGCTAGCTCTAGTTGCAGATTACAGTTGCTCCTTGTTGTGAGTCACTTTCACGTGAGACATGTTTCCGATCTAAAGGTCGTTTTGTCGGTGCAGTGCGGTGAAAACCACGTTTAAAACTGAACGATGCAATTTTTATTACGCCTGTTACGACGATGGATCTATTTCATTGTTGACAGAACATGATGGTATTTGGCTAATTTAATAGTGTTATTGCGGTGAATCCATGTATGTTGGCATTCGTTATCTGCCCTATTTTCGTCGCCCTTGCGACTGTGGTCGATTTCATCACGTGCCAAGCATCACGCATTCCTCGCCTCAACCCCAGCAGTGACACTTCCGATCACGAAAAAAAAGATGCCCCCGTAGAGTTCTGCTGATTGCAACACTGAAGATCCAATTTGCTTCTCGCGGTTTCATGGGGACATCGATACAAGGCATTCCTTTCCACTGAAAGAAAAATGTTTTTTTTCAAAGCCAATACCAGGTAATCGTTCTTCTCAAAACAAACTATTTTTGCTCCAAGAAAAACAACACTATTTAAACTGGCACAATACAGAGGTTATTACAGGATTGTACTTTGACAGCAAGGGCATTCGGAAAAGGCGTTCGAAGGGGAACTCATAAAATTTCAAGTATCTCCTGATGAACAATTATTTTAGGGGAAATCGTGAGGCAATGTGAGTCTGTAAGGCTCAATGTTCGAGAGGTCTGTAAATCGTCCTTGCCAACCCCTCCCCCTCCCGCCTTTTTATTGCTGGACTTTGTCAAAATCGTGACCAGTTAGTCAAAAGTTTGATAGTCACAAGGGCAAGGGCGTTAAGATTTCCCTATGGCACCATTCTATGTGGGCGAATTCATCACGTTGTTGCCATTTCGAACATTAGTGTTGTATGAGTCATGTGAAAAAATGCTGGCTTGGGAAAAGAGGGAGCCGAGTTTAATATATTCATTACATACTTGGCTGGTCGATGGAATTAACCATTTCAATTTATTCCATGTTTCGTCTGTAGCCTCAAGGGAAGCATCGGTAAACGGAGTCTGACAAACGCATTGAGTTCGCCGCTAGAGCAATATTGGCAGTGATAAAAGATCGTGGCACCTCTTTGCGGCTTGCGCCTTGTATGTTGAGGTTGTTATTCTCGCTGACTTGCAATTGAACAAACAACACCGATAAACTAGCAGCATGAGAGCCATAGAACAAAAAAAGATTGAGCGGTCGAGCGGCTTGAATTATATTCAGCTATTTTGTAGTAAATTTTCGAACCGTTTATTTCCTAACACGAGATGAAAAGGGAAGACACTATTTTTGAAAGGTACACCATTCATGTGCGTTACACGTTATTGCGGGTGGCTCCCACGATACATAAACCCTAAAGTAAAGGAAGTAAACCCATATCATACCGGTAACTTGTGATTATTTTTTTGTCTTTCAGTGAGCACGAATGCGTTGCGTTACACAAACAGAGCGGCGTTGTGTTACATCACGGCAAAATGTGTGGCGTACTCTTCATTTAGTCACGCTCGAGCTTTTGATGCTTTCAGGATTGAGAGTTCGGCTTAAGAAATTTTTTGCGATGGTTCTTTTTTTTTTTTTAAGTTAAAGAATTTGGCAATTGTCTCTCAAATGAAATTGAAAGACAGTAAAACATCCAATTCGTTCTGGTGACAATGATTGAGTAATCTGAAAGCGTTTCCATTCCATTCATTTTAGGACAATTCTTGAGGGGCATACTTTGGGTTCCTTCGAAGATAAGAAATGTCTTCACTCTACCGCCATTGTAACAATGGCACTCGGAAAACCACAACAAAAGTTGTTATTCCTTATGTACGGTGCATATTGGAAAGAGGCCGAGAGTTAGTTCAAGTTAAAAAAATATTATTTTTTTCACTGTTTATCAAAAACTGTATTATTTACATTGCTGGACAATTGGAACATGTCAAGCGTAGCCCTGAACTTCGCTAAGGGCACTTAAATCTTTTGTAAAACAAATTATTTTTAAAAAGCACATCAAAGAGTCGGCGTCGTAGAAAGATGACCCGAGTGTAGCACTGTAATGAGAAACACACCCCTTCTTTAAAGACCTAGAAAGCCCACAAATTTACGGGAAAATGAATTAAGAATTTGCCAGTTCGTGTGTGGTATCCTACCTGAGGTCAAAATCTTGAAATGTTTCAAATATATAGCATGATAATTGTAACTTCTTACAGTGTTTTCATAATTGTAATAAAATGCAAAGAATTCCATTCTTATCGCGGGCCCTTGCGGGCAACTAAGTTTTATTCCTGTTTAGGAATTTTTAGATCCGTTTTCTCAAGGTACTTATGCAAAGCCAGTATTGTAATTTGCAAGAATGTGTCTCAGATCCTAAAGAATTGTGTTCAGTAGACTTAAGTAAAAAAGACATTTACTTCCTATCTGTGTCCGGTTTAAGAAGTAAACATGTTAGGAATTATCTGCATTTAAGACTAAGATATTGGGATATTGCTTCTAATATTTCAAAACCTCAAGAATCTTAATTAACGAAAGAGTGTTTTTTTTATATTTTCCGTGTCAACAGTTCACCCGCATAACAACTTCCCGCCAAAAGTAAGCGCGGGAAAAGTTCGGATGCACAGGCCACACGCGGATGTTGGCGAATCCACAATTCCTAGCAGCAGCACCGTGTGACGTTTGGCTGGAAAAAAAAATTCTACCACTGTACTAAACGAATGCAGATCAAAATACTCAGAATTACAGACGCCAAGAATGCACAATTTCTCCGAATTCGAGTATTATTTAATTAGTTGTCCACTCGGGCCAGTTATATTTTTACAGGATTAGCAATGAAAGCACGAAAAATACTTTCTTTTCAACATTTTAACAAAGCGATGCTTTAAATCAACAATGAAACAAGTGGACCAGACACTAAAATGTATTTATTTACTCCACGTTAAGTTTCCACGACAATGAAACTTAGAACGCCATGTGTTCAGCACGTGTTAGACAGCTGTTCCATGTGGTCTTGCTCGAAACACGTCCGGCACCGTATCGAATAACCTCGACACAAAGACGCGGGAACACCTCGTGCGGCTTGAAAATGTTGAACCCTCAGTCCTGCCCAAAACTTGCTAAAAAGTAAAATTTTATCATTTTTCTTCCGATGCTTTTAAATTTAATTTCGCAACTGAATACTAAACGGCACTACTCTTACCATTTTTTCGACGAACGGGGGCAAAATTTCTAATTTTTCTCGCACAAATGCTAGAATTTTAGGACATTTAACTCATTCTAAGACCAAAAGAAGCAATGTTGTAAACCATGCGATCTATAATAGTCAATAATTTTTTTTTATACAGTGATAGATTTTTTTAAAGTTCATAAGTTTTATTTGACGTCAGCAGAAAAAATAAATTGAAAGGTCGCTTAATGTTTTGAGCGTCGGTGTAAGGTCACTTCGTTTCTCTTTCTTAGAATTTCCCGTATTCTTGGAAAAACTCTTCACACAGCACTGGATGGAGAAAAACTAATTTGTCTATGACTCAAAAGCTACACTTTAACACGCTTCCATAATCACTAGCACGTGTTTGTATGTAAACACGATCCACCCAGCTTTAGAAGTTCTTTCAATTAAAAATCTTTTAGCGTTAGCCTCACGTCCCGAGGGCAGTTCCACCTGCTGTAGACTCTGTTGTTTTCATTACTAAGCTTCCAGCTGTTTCCTAATTAACTAGCAGCCCTGTAAATTGTGCCCCCGACAACACGTTACCATCAGGAATTTTGTAAACAGCAACTAGGTTTAAAAAAGTGTGTTAAATTGACTGTTTTTCATCCCTGACGCGACTCCCGAACGTCAACTGACAACAAGCTTTACGTAGAGTTGTGCCCTTTGCACAGTGTGATAGATTTAAAAATATACCACAATGGTCAAAAATGCACAGCACGAGAATTGATTATATTTTAGATAGAGATTTAAAGCGATATCCCCCAAGTTGATTCATCCGCTTTCAAAAATCAATTCAGTATTCAACTGATTACAATTGCAAATGTAGAACTTTGCATCACGACGTGCATTTGAGCAATATTTCAAATTTTAAGCATCAAGTAGTACTCATTGAAGTGTCCCTTTCATAAATATGTCCTATTTGTGAGTGACACGCCGATAACAGATGGACCGATGGATTCCTCAACGCAAAATGGTGAATCAAGCGGTTTTTAATGAGTATAGCAAGTTAAAAATTCCGTATCAGTGATCCACAGATAAAAACAATCGCATACTTTTTATGTACTTGGGCTACCGCTGAGAAGGATAAAAGAATTTAATAACTTTTATTTGTAAGCTGGTGAACGTCGGTAGTCTCCGAAATAATCGGAACCTTTCCGAATGAATCCGAAAAGTTCCAATTCTTGCAAGAGACAGAGAGAGAGAGTGGCACAAATTAGGGAGCGTTTTATCCTCCGTATCACCCGTGAATTTGAGCAAAATTTTTGCGCCACGTCACTTTTGCGAGAATTTAAACGTTATCTCCTGTTAACTACAAGTTTCGTGCTTGCAAATTTCCTCCTGAAGAAATTTAGCCTTTTTCTCAGAAGGGTTCTCTGTTGCTCAGTGGTAGACAGAGCGGAGATCCGAGGTTCATGGGGAATCAGATTTTTCTTTTTTCCCACGTTCATGACAAGATCAATAACATATTTTTTCATTCCATTACCTTGCTCAAAATTTACTATCTTTCTCATTCAAAAACGACAGCAAAACTCGTGCAGAAAAAGTCAGATGTAGCCAATCAGAGTTCCACAGAGAGGCTGGGATCCCTGTGTGCAAATCTGGGATCGTTACTAAATTCTAAATTCTAGTTACTCGAATCCTTGTTCAAATCGTGATATTACTCATTGTCTTGCATGTGCCCCCACTCTCTTGATAAAGGACTCGCACACTCTTCCGTCGTTGACAACAATGGATAATTCCAAGCTAATCTTGTTATCTTTTGGCCCGGACCAAACGGCCCCACATTGAGAGCAACCCCGAGACTTTGGAAACTTTGAAAAAAATGCCAGACTTCTAGACCGAAATAAGTTAATCATTACTTGATTTTGAGACCATCTTAAAAGTTGACGAGATTACGAGATTGGATGAAGAGTTTTCAAGAACCCACCAGTTTTTCAAAGTACCCTTGGCCACCTCCAAAGAACTCTACCTCCATCAGGCTGCACAGCAGAGAAAACTTGTAGAAACAAAACCTTGTCCCAAAAAACGCTTGCCAGTGTAATAGCGGTTGTACTTTCCGTGTCTGATTCCACTAGTACAGCAGATCCAAGTGGAAGTGTTACGCGTTACAAGTGTATATTTTCCGCTTGCCCTTTGTTTGTTAGTTGTTTACATCATTCTTCTGTGTCTGATTTGATCGTGAGAAAATTGAAGAAACTCTAAATTCGTCTTGACCCTGCCTATCTAATTAATCCTATTCATTTTATTTACCCAAATCCAATTTCCGAGGCTGGCTCTGAACGGAAGAGAGGAACGAGACTACCCAGCTTTGTCTCCAGTGCTAATAACATGTATTGACTCACTCGCGTGAACAATTGGAATAAGGCGTTATACAATTTTGGATGCACAAAACTAATAAATCTCAAAAGTAATTAAGTTTACTAACCAAATATTTCCTCGTCCGCCTTCAAAAGCAGCTTAAAACTACAAATTTTTAATTGCAACATAGAGTGATAAATATTTCTTAAGAGGTTTTGAAACCAGGCAAAGTCTTAGTCAATTTACTCCTTTATGTGCACGCATGGTACAGTATTTGTGATGGCTTGGATCAGATGGAAGACCAATCATTATTTTGCATTACAAAAAAGGTATTAACGGATAAACGTGTCGATTAAGTCACTAAGATTTTGCTGCATCATGGTTTAACACAATTCAGTTTGATTGACTCTAGTTACAATCATTTTATCGAGCTGGTCAATTGTTTACTTATCACGGATCATTGGTCAAAGTGGTCGTTAGGTGCTTCAGTTGTCTCGTTGTGACAAAGGCACACGGCTTTGGCCACGCAAATGAAATTCATCTCGGTTTCCTCTGATCTTTCAAAAAATGCGCTCATAATGGTTTAGCATTTGGTCTCTTACACGTTTAGATCCCAAGTGAACAATGGCGATGGCCTAGCTTGGCTTTTTGACAAAGGCTCAACGTCGAAAGTAATCCTAATGATAAAAGAAGTAGACGCTCATCAATAATACATGAAGTTTAATAATCTCATTTTTGGATTTGTTTCGCCCATAAAACTATCAAGTTAAATAAAAAACGTCATTGACTTGCTTTGTGCACGACCTTCATTGAAGTAACTTATGTAAACAGTGCAAATTTCACATAAGCGGGAGAGGGGAGGGGTGGGGTACGCCGTAGAGAAAATATCTCACTGTTCGGTTGAGAGTAATCACGAGAAGGATTGTTGACGATGTTTATGACATCAAGGCACAACTGGCCAATCAACTAGAGTTATAATAGGGTAAAGGGGTAAGTTTCTAAAGAAACTGTGGTGCTGCGTCGGTGGGAGAGTATAACAGATAATTTAGTGTTAACAACTGGGTTGAAAAGAAACTGTGCCCTTCGTGCGATTAATCGCGCGTCGGTGGGAGAGTATAATAGGGTAATTTGATATTATCAACTGAGTTGATAACGTAAATTAGCTACCGTGAAGAGTTTCAAACCTGAAGTTTCGAGCGTTCGCCCTTTGTTAGCCCCTCGGTATTATTAACTCAGTTGATATTACCAAATTACCTTGCTATACTCTCTCACACCGACACAGCACCACAATTTCTTTAGAAACTTACCCCTTTTAGTTGAGTTATAATACTCGACTGACAGACAACTCTTCACTCGACTCTGAGAAGACTTTTCAGAAATGCCAGTTGAATGCTAAATGGAGAAAGAGTAACAGACCAAACAAGCAAACGCAACAAACTAACCCCCCCCCCCCCCCAAAAAAAAAGAAAGAAAAAAAAAAAAGAAAGGGTTAATCGTTCTCTACAAGTGGGTTCATTTGACAGCTTACCGGCCAAGCCAACTGTACACCTACTTATTTAAAAATTTCAACCAAATATTCGCACGACAATCGCGAAGTCTCGGGGGGAAGGAAGAGGGGGCGAGATAAATCAGGTGAGTGAGCTTCCTTGCTTCGGTAGATTGGGTAACCCTTTAAGGCACGACAAAAGCCATTACAGACAACAGACCTTTGCACTTAAAACCATCACCTTTCGCAAAACAAACCCAGGCACAAACAAATAAAAAAATAAAATAAAACAGAAAAAGAAACACAAAATGTTACAAAAGGTACTTTAATAGCAAATTGTACTAAAAAAAATCACATCACAACATCGTGAAAATATTACAAGCATACTTGTGATTTAAGACCACCAGAAATTACTTGTTAACTCTGGGTTTCTAATGCAAGCTTCATCTCATATTTAGAGCAACCATCCTATATTTTGAAGGCAACTGTGTGGTTCCTTTCAGTTCTGACGTGGGGATCACTTCCTAAAGAATTGCCCGTTCTACAGAGCTTGTCTGGTGCATTTCAAACTCGTGAGAAACAATAAGAATTACCCATTACACAGTATAATGCTTTCATTATAAATAAAACCACTTCGGTCAATGGTGCCTTATGAAATAAAGAATACGGTTAACCGTCTAAAAAGCTAACCTGATCTATTTACAAACTTTTGTTCCCAGCAAGAAAAGAAAGATCACGTGACAAGAGAGTAATTCCGAGATCCACAAAAACTCTTTAAGGTTCATTAATTGTCCTTTTACATGCTCTTTGAACAACCTTAACTATGAGAATCTCGGATCAATGTCAGTATCTGAGAAACTGCGCATCTACCCCTCCCCTGATTCAACAACAGTCACCTGATGACAGGTAAGGGTTAATTGTGGGAGGGGTAGGTGCGCAGTTGTTTAAGATACTGACATTGATCCGAAGATCTTTCTTTCTTTCTATTGGTACCGAATTCCAATACAACGTAACAACCAGTTTTTAAACAATATTTTTCACTCAGTATACAAAGTATAATAAGACCTATATTACCCCGGAAGTCAATAATATATATATTTTTCATTTCCTCTATCTTCACATCCTGCGTGAAGTCTACAACCAGTTACCTTTTCGGTCCGATACGAAAGTTATTTCCCTGGAAAAACGTTGCTTATCACCTCTTTCTCCGTCACGCAATCTTTCCACCGTCCCAAAGTTACATTCCACGCAAAGCCGTACGCAATGTTCTGTTTAAAGTTCCCTTACTTAGCCAATATTTCTGCTTACATTTTGGTTTTCAAAATTTTTTCAAACCGTCTAATGATATACGATTACTCGTCACACGAAAGGTTTAATATTTGAAACAAGTTTCTTTTTTAACCTCACTGGGGGCTATACTTATTTTGGCCAATTGATACATATGTAACATGACCATAACAAAAAGTTCAAGGTCGTCTCCGTAGAATTTTGACCCATAAGAAGAAATAGCACATACTAGTTTGATTTGTTTGTTGACATATTAAGGTTAAATAACAGTAACTTCGCAGGGACAGCGTACTAAACGTATAGCACCTCCCCTCCCCCCCATTCTCCCCCCCCCCCCCCTTCACGCACAAAAAATTAAGGAAAATGAAAATCAGGAAAATATGACTGGATATTCTAAATGGGCTCCTGTCTTCTTCCCCGCCCACTTCCCAAAACTTTTTGTTACGTCGTTCGTGCTTTGCCACCTATCTATCTACAAGCAAATGGCTTGGAAGCTAAATCATAATCCTATGAACCGTAGTGAAGAAAATTCTGAGTTACCTATGTTTACTTCAAATACAAACTAATTTCATTGTCTACAAACAGATAAGTCAGAATCTATTAGTTGGCTTATCTGCAATCCGGAAATATCCCGTTAGTAAATATAAATTTTACTCTACACGTTGATTTCCACTGGAACTTTGTTTTTGTTGTTGAAGTTTTTCAATAGCGATTAGTCCCGTTCACATAACCACTAAGAAAAAAAAAAGACACAAAATTATATGATAAGCTGTGTAGCCGCATTTTGATTGGTTCTTACCTATGATCTATTAGAGAAAAGACGCATAAATGACGTCCCCATTAACGACATTTTGCTTTTCATTTTTGATGATATATAAAAAAAAAACATATTCCATGTTGCCATCTGCCTGTTTCGTCCTAAAAGATCGCAGAAGTCGTCAAAATAGGGTAAAAACATCAGTGGCACACTCGGCATTTTTTTTGTTCCAACCACATTTTGAGGTCATCTCTCAGTATTACTAATAAACAGACACACGGCAACATGGAGTGTGCAAACCAAGCGTTGTTTAACGGAAGTCAGACATATTGACGAAAACTCCGTTTGAGAGAAAAGCGAGAAGTAGAAGGAACGTAAACTGAATTTTGCGCGAAAACCCCGACGAGACGGCGTCGAATTTGGCGGGAAAACGCGGTTGCCAAGGTCAGTGATGCAAGTTTTATGAGAATGCTCCTGTACTGGAGGAAAATTGGGTAAAACAGTACACTGGAGCAGACAAAACCAGTGTACCAATTTTTTTTTAAGATTTCAATGAAACGCTATTGCGAGAAGGGGAAGAAGAAGCAGCAAAGGAACACGAAAATGAATTTGGCGCAAAAAACAATGCACCCGACCTCAAGGCCGTCAAATTTGCGGGACATCGTGGGAGCCACGGTTACTACTTTGCGAATATTAGAAAATACCACGCTACAGGAGTCGAAGTTTGTCGCTGTAGCAGGAGACAAACTGAAAAAATAACTGCCAGGTAAGCTTTTTAAACATGACAAGTAATGCATAGCTTTGATGATATCGGTCACAGAGGAAAAATCGACAGAATTCTTACAGAATTTACTTGAATTCAATCCACGTCACCTCGGAAGAACCATGCTAAAATCAAAAACACAAGTTAGAGTTGGTTGTTGAAAAAGTCCGTCAAAATGAACTGGATCTTTCCTCTCGAGTTTCTATCTATCCACTAGAGAATAAATGCATGAACATCATATGCTATGAATCAAGCTCGATGGTGACGAAAACGGCCTAGTTTATCGTTTCAAACACAATAAATTTAGCAAAAATAGCGGTCGATGTTACCCGCCACAGCTCGACGGCGAATAAAAATTCAAGTTCTACTGTTGCTATGTCTGACTTCCTCTGTGATTATCACGTTCCACGGAGACAAGGAAGAAAAGATAGACATTCTTAATCTTTCTTTCTCAACCTAAAACTAAAAACGGCTGTGGTTCGATGCAATTACTGACCCTGCTAGTCATATGTTTCGTTGCCTGTAAACTAACTTTCCTTGAACCAACAATTAAGACACAATTGACTCTAAGAATGATTTTTTTAAAGTTTTGGTTAGCACTTTCAAAATTTCTCAAACACCAATAGCTCTCTTAGCGCTAATTGGGAAAATATTTGATAGTATTTATATTCAAATGTAGCGATTCCTATGGTGAACATTGAATTAATTTAAGGCTGACTGGTTAGGAAAAACGAAAATGTTATGGAACTAGTTTAAGTCGTATATTTAGGAGGCGTATATCAAGTACCAAACATTAGACGCAATAATAAACAGAACTTGAATATTCCAGTTTAAATCATAGTGACAGAAATTTCTGCGCGCAAGAATTGAAGATTTTAGATGCGAACATAAAAATGTTTTCAATAGTTTATTTAGGTTTCTAGAATTATGAATACTATTTGCGATAAACCAATTTATCTGTTTGATCAAACAAATTATTCGCAAGTCTACGTTATCACATAAAATTTTTAGGAAAACTTCAGTACATTTCATCAAAGCTGGAAGAGTTAGAGCAGGAAGAATTAAAACTTTTCATCTGCATTGAAGTTTATTTAAAGCTAACATACCAAAGCAACAAGCGCTGCCGAGCCTGAACTTTCAGAGTTCTCCGGGCGTCTCCAGTTCAACACCGCTTGCAATTTTCACGGGCAATTAACAGTCCATCAGAGAGGACATTGCAAGGAGCTGCGTTTGTCGGGGTAGGGGTAGGTAACAAGATAAGCTCAGTAACCCAAACGGAACAAGAGTTTTCCAGTAATCAACAAGCAGGTGTACGATGAGAAACACTCGGTCTCGTAACACTGGACACCCAAATTTCTTCACTGAGCTCTTTCTGTCGCCAAACAAAGCAGCACTTGGTGCTTTAGGCGCAGAAACATTTATAAGTTTACAAACCCGAGCTAGTATCTGCTTGGTGGAGCCTGGGGATAGACAGCATTTCTGGCAGAGGAATCACCACACAGAGTTAAATCACACAACACAGAAAACCATTAACGCAGTGGATGTTAGCTCGCACGCAGCCATTTTTACGATGAGTCAATGCCACTCCTACCACAGTAAGGTATCAATATCTCACTCTCTCTCCAATCTTTGCCAATCCCACTGACTGGGAGACATTGCTCAACGATACCCAGCAGAATTAATCGGATACCTATTGATTTGTGGTTTTCCCACGGTCTGCTTCAAGATTGCAGAAGGAAAAATTGTTACTAGGAAAGTTGCAAGCAAAAGATTTTGCGCTTTGAAAAGCACGTGTTTGTGGTAAGGAGGGCATTGGCTTCCCTAGTAACGGCTGCAAAGACTCTCCAAGACTAAGGCTACGGCTTTACCTTGCTCAGACGTCGACATTCGAGTTAATCAAATAACCCAACCTTCAAGCAACTCCTCTCACAGCCACCTTAAATTTGGGCCACCTCTTCATGCATGTATCACAGAATGGCACAGAAATGATTGTTTTGAAGCAGAGTAAAGCTCTCACGCGTTACCCAACACCAACCATTCTCCTTTAAAAGTTACTGGTTTATGTTTAGAAAAACCAAGCCCCCATTAAAATTACTTGTTAGCTTTAAAGTTTAGCTTTCAATCAATGTTTAGAGTGGTTTCAAGAGACTACTTATGTTCTCCCTGATTTAACTCTGCACCCTTCACCTTCAAATGGTTAGCAGCAGCAAATTTATCCGAAGTTAAGATATAAGAAAAACCACTTTTAGAGCAAAATCCCAGTTAAATGTCATTAAAGTAACCCTATCAATAAGTCGATTTAAACTTAAGTCAATGCATGTTAAATGTTGTTAGTTTGGTCAGGCAGACCAAATAAATGAAAACTAAAAACAACAATAAGCTAACAAAAAAAAACCACGAATAGATGAAAGTTAACTAGTGATTTGAGAGCAAAAACATTTCAACAAGTGAAAAAAAATCTAGATATATAAATAGAGAAAATGGAGGACTTAATGAGTCAATGAATGAAAGCGAGTATGACGTTCCCAAGTCACTCCGCACAGGTTTGACAATGTTTAAATATTAGAGCAATTAGTAATATTTCCACCACTTACTTCGGGTTAGCCCATGGTTTCTTTTCGCCGCCCCTACAGTAACAAACAACATTACCGGTCATTCAGTGATAGTATTAAAAGTTCAAACCCAAAAAAATACAAGAATAACTTCTCTTTTATTGACTGGAAAACAACAATAACATCAAAATTCAAAATACACAGTGCAGTGCTTTCAATAAGATTTGAAGTAAGTGGCTACCTCGGTAAAGCACCCGCCAGAAGATAATACGAAAAACAATTTCGATCTCGTTCGCCCATTAGTTCCATTGGAGCAAAATTGCTTCAAACAGAGTTTTCTGTGGCGAACTTTGGTAATTGATCATTTAATATTAGTTTACTCCTTTGTAACAAATGTTTAACTGATTGTTTATTTCTACTCAAAATCTTCCATTTGCTGACTTACAAACCTGCTGCCTGAGTTTCACACAAAAACTCCTCTAAAAGGACATGTAGTTACTGGTTACTGGTAACTGAATTTTAGTCAGTATGTTTTCGTAAATTCAAAATCTTATTTTTCCTGGAAATTTGGTTTACGGTATGATAAGACAATATCGATCGTTTTTTACTCAAACCTTATTTATAAAGCTATCAACAAGCGAGCTGTTTTAACTAATTTTGATTTTCAAGTTTGTTTTCCAACCAGCAGCTGAGAAGAGCTGCTGTTGTTTTATTTATCTAAACGTATTTAATGATTTAAGTTCAGCACAAATTTGTTTGAAAACTATTTAGGTAACAGACGATGTGTACTTCTACTTCGAGCGTGATTAACTTTTATAATACACGCGAAACAAGCAGAGAAAGTATGAATCTAACAATGAAAGAATGAATCTAACAAACAAAGACTATAGAATTAAAAAAATAACTGGGGTGATTACTCCAGTACTAAATTGACTGTTATTTTCTACGTTATTTATTTACCTTTTTGTTCTGTAAATTTGACCTGGACATGGCAGAGTATACCCGGCGATTCACAACAGAATACCCGCCGGGTGCCAGGTGTTATCGAAAGCACTGTATACAAATTAACTATACTTACGAAGGGTACTGAGGTGGGGCTGATGGATAAGGATGTCCCATTTCGAACGCTTCCCTAAACAGACAACACAACAATAGTCAAAGTACTGCCCGCAAGTTTCCAGTAGTTGGAAATTGGTGCGGAAATAACGACTGATCTAACAATATTTTTCTAAGAATAACAAACAAGTACGCTTTTAAACATGACACTAGCCTCTTTTTGTTGTTAAGAGATCCATTCAAGTGAAAAACAAAACAAAAAAGGACTCCACATCACTTTCAGATTTGACCATAAGTAACCAAATTTGTATTTCATAAATTGCAGAACGTTAAGTTATAGCAGTAAGTTACTTACACATCCTGATCAAATTCATTCTCGTAATCCATCCGGCGATAATGTTTAGCAAGTTTAACACAGAAAATTATTGCAGGGATGAAAAAGAACAGGCAATATCCAATGGAGAACCAGAAACCATTCTGAAACAAACAAACAAAAAGAAAGAAATTATACTTGTGTTCCGATAACAATTTATTCATCATAAATCATCTATTCTTTAATGAATTAATAATGAAAATCAATCATGACAGTTGGTCGGTCTGTCAGTTGGCCTGTCAATCAAATTTTTACCAATAATAGTTGATAATAACTGTTGGGTTTTTGGTTGCTAACTATCAAATCAATAATGAAATATGTACAAATGCTTAAGATTAAAATGAATCAAAGATCAGTAAGATGTGACTTACAAATGGGTACAGGGCTTGCTTGCAGATTATAACAATAGTTGCATCGTAAATGTTCGCCACAGGTTTACATTTAGCCAAACTATTGTCTAGCTAAGTGATTGAAAGCAAAGAATATATATTACTTGAAACATAAACCAAAAAAATCCCCTCAGTAAAACCTTACATAGCACACGAGAGAATACATTTAGCCAAACTATTGTCTAGCTAAGTGATTGAAAGCAAAGAATATATATTACTTGAAACACAAACCAAAAAAATCCCCTCAGTAAAACCTTACATAGCACACAAGAGAGAACATTTTGACTGACTGTCCTATCATAAAGGTAAATACATACATTCCCTGTGAAAAAAATGTGCAGCTAAGGAGAACTAGATGTAGCCATGGACAATCAACAGTAAAATGTTCTTATAAACACAAACAAAATACATGTATAATCACGCTGACTAATTTCAAGAATCACTTTAAGGTTTCAATTATACACTGAAGCTTGTTCTTCATCTGTTTCAGGAATCAAACAGCTCCACACAAGTCTAAATTTCTTATATGTCCATTACTTACAAGGTCTTTAATGTGATCTGTGAACTGAAATCCCCAACCTAACACTCGATCAGTGAATTTCTGTACAATCTACACCAAAACAAACGCAACAAACATTAAGATTAACAATGGCAAACGCATGCAGAAAATTGATCAACACTTTAATTCTTGATAATCTTTCTTTTTAAATTTCAATTCAACCCTCTTGATTTTTACATTGACACTTGACCTAATGCCTGCTACAGGTTAAACTGATTTGAAAGATGAATCATCTCATTACTATGGCCTTGACCACAGCCAGATCATAACTGGGAATCTACTAGCGATCACGAAACATTCATTTGACCTCCTATTTGTTCATTTGTTTGAATATTTGGTTTTCCTTTTTTTGCTTTCTTTTCTTTATTTTTTTTTGCTTTCTAATTAACCACTCACTAGGATAATTTTCTGCAACCATATTTGCTTGTGTCAGGCTCTCCAGGAAAAGGTTATTTATTTGAAAATCTTCTACTCTGAAAGCATTAGCCTTTTTTAATTACATTCACTTTTCTATAGTGAGTATGTGTAGTCTACCATAAGTTTCATGAAACATTACCTAACAACTTACAACATTTTTCAGGGCCAATAATTGAAAGCTAAAACTTGATAACTATTAGCAGTGGACAGTACAGTTAGATATGAGCAGACAGTACAGTTAGATCTGAACTCACAGGTGCCCAGAATTACCCTTAAAAAAGGAAGAATTGACCCAATAAACACAAGAAGAACTGTGCAGAAGTGGAAAAGTTATAGGTGAGTAAAAGATTTCATAATCAAGTCATGAAGCCCCTACTGTTTTTGTTTCCTGTTATTTAATTGTGTGTTTTCACACGAGAACACAGTATGTCAGTGCTTACTTTGTTGATATTAGTAGCTGATTGAGTGTGAAGATAGTCCTCTGCTTTCTCGGCTTCTTTCAAAGTATTGTTTGCTAGTTTCTAAAAGCAAAATAATGTTAACCCTTTAACTCCCATGAGTGACCAAGACAGAATTTCTCCTTACAATATAAATTGTTTGCTAGTTTAACATCACAAGAATTGTATAGCAGATAAAAGCAAAATAATGTTAAATCAACAACTAAAAGAAACCAAATTTCATGTACCTCAACAGTCATTTTTCTACAGTTAAACTGACTACCATGTTAAGGAGATTATAGTCAAATAGGACTATGTTATAAAGCACATTCTTATAAGTGAGTACTCGAGCTGAAAGATGTACATTTTGACTCTATCAACCTGATGCCTTTACATATGAAATAATGACCAATCAAAATGTAGGGTCGGGCTATCAATTGTATCGATTGTAACATTTTGACTGCTATACTGCAAGTGTTTGTCAGGCAATGAGGTTGAAAGTTTACATGTTGCTATTTATAGCACCTTGGTTTGTCATGAATAGCTTAAAGCAAGCTTCAGGCCTCATCCCCTAACAAAGACTTGCAGTATAGTACTTAAACCATCAAGATCAATGCAATTGTTAGCTTGACTCTACATCATGAGACAAATGGCTAAACAATCATTTATCTTCAAAACCTCAGTGACCAACAACATTTTCAATAACACCAATTCCATTTGTAATGCCTGCCTGAATGGTCGTAAGGTTACAACCCTGAGCAATGACCAAGCAAAAAGAAAGAGCTATTGACATGAACCTCATTGCAAACAGTTGTTGTTCCATGTTTTGTAAGAGTTTATGCATATTGAACTCGAGAAGTAAATAACAAACTGTTGATTTCAGATCAATTCTTCCTTGCAAAAACATCGTTAACATCAAGAAAACAAAATAGTGCAGTAGTTTCATCCCCAAGGTTACTTAAGCCTTTTCATTGCTTAAATGATAAGCAAAAAACAATTTACCTTGAGATCTCCTCCAATACCTTTCAGGGCATTCACATTTTCATTTAACTCTATCTGTTAAGAAAATATACATAAATTAATTAAACCAGTATTGTAATTCACCCATTGAGTTCTATTATCTTAAGCAACTTAAAAATTGTTTCTCTTGGACTTAAACAAATTCTTGAAAAGATCAATCACATGAAATACCCTATGCACAAACAAATTATGTAGTAGTTGAATAACACATGATAATTATTTCAATCAATAGTCAAATAAATCTCCCCTCCAAAAGCTGTGTATTACAACTAAATTAAAAACCTTCCAGGGAAGAATCATGAACCCACTTAAAGGGCTAACTGGCTTTATTGGTAGCTTATTAATCTACGTAAGATACTGTAATTAATGTTCAGAACCCTGGTTACATGAAGAACCTTTGTAAATTTCAAAATTAAACAAACCATATTGACAAGGAAATGTATTTCCTAACCGACTTATCTTCCATATCCTTCACTACAGTCGCCTGTAGAGTGCGCAGGGCTGCGGCAGTGTCATTCGCTTTTTGTGACAGTTCCTAGAGGTACATAAAACAGTAACAATGAGATGACTTTAAAGTAATTTTCAATTAAGCAAGGATAGTAATTCAGGGCTACACTGAACATATGTATTGTGGCTTTCCTCAGCAGTCACAAGAACTCACTCAGACTCAAACAATCACATCAACTTCAAAAACAAACTTGATCTGTACTGATTTCTAACCCTTGTTATAAAATTTTAAAAAAACATGAAACATATTGATCAACATTATTTTCATCAGTATGGGATATGTTAATACTTAAGGCCTTTTGAATTATTCAAAAAGAGGCCATAAGGTGAACAATAACTAATTTTCAAAAACAATACATAGTAAATTTCTGACATTTTCTAAAACAAAGTGTGAACTTACAAGTAACTTGGCTTTATTTGGTGCTAGAGGATTCTGTGCTGCTGTATAAAATTGACCTCCTAGATTACTGATATTCTGAGCAAATTCGTTGAGATCCACAGCTGTTATATTTTTTGTTGTCTACAAATTGAAAAGAAAAAAAAAGAAACCGCTTAAAATTTCAATATGTGATATATTATTATTACATAGAAACTGATATATTACCAGGTTACATCTTTGAGCCTTTGCTACGGAAAATTTAGTTGACTGTACCAGCTGACATTGTTTTATTTACATTTGACCATAGTTGTCTAGTAAGCTGATACCATGCAGAATGTTTGCCACACCCTCACTTGCTTCATTCATACATTCACTTCCCACCGGCTAATTTAAATCAAAGGCATGCTACTTTTTGGATGGGTGGTTTGAAATGGGACACTAAGAAACTGATGTTTGCAATCTCATAAAGGAAAAATTGCAATTACTTTCAAACATTCCAATGAAAATATTGTTCAATGGAGAGCAGGCTGAGAGTATTTTTACTGTCATTCCTTCGTAAGAGACAAAATGCAGTTACAGCCAGTTGCTTAGTAAAATATCCATCCACATAAATTTATTGTAGAAAGTACACAGAAACTCTATTTTCCCCTCAATAGCCCCACTGAAAACATTTTGCAGTCAAGTGAAAATTATTTGAACGAAGAGAAAAGTTTCATATTTCAAACACTTTCAAAAAGGAACAACAACATAGTCTTCTTATATGGTTGTTGCTATCTGAACTTTGCCCCATGTGTAATTTAAAAAATTTCTCAAAAATTGTGATAACATGCTAGGAAAAGAGAAGGAAAAGATTCTGATGTCTGGCAGCAATAACAATTTAAAGCAAGGTTTTGAGACTGGTAACAAATAATGTTTAAAACGATTTGGATATGAGAGTTACAGAACAGGGAAAGAGAAAAAAAGAAAGACAGCAGATACTGTTTGTACATTTGATAACTCAACCAAACATCAATGAATTTTCAAGATTTGTTTGTTTAAATCTGTTGATTGCCAATTGGCAACTTTTGCTGAAATTTTGAATGCAGCATATATTTTTCATTTGCCATGGTAACCAAAATGGTTATAGCTTGGAGCATTGTGTACAAGAGAATTCATTGTTATGGGATCTGCAAAGCAATTTGTTTTCTAGTTCAATAATCTATAACAGAAAAAAAACTAGGCAATAAAGCTGTTAATAAAATAACAACAAACAACTAATTTAAACTACAGTTTTACCTCATTCAAAAATGAAGCAAAATCAATGCCATCAACTCCTGAATCCCTAAGTTCAGTCAGGCTGTTGCGGGTGTCATTGCTAAAGACATTCACATCACTCAGGTTGACCTTTAAATTGTCAAACTGTTGTGTAGTATCATTTCCAAGCAACTGCAAAGGTAAACAACACCAACATTTATGTGACCAAAAAATAAAAGAGCCATAAGTCATCCATCAATTCATTCTTGAAATGCATTTTGTTATTTATTTATTTATTTTATTTGCCATTATATATAATATTATTACAGATTAAAGCAATTGATAAAGAAAAAAACAAAGATCACTGGCAAGGAAATCTGATAACATCTTTAAGACCTGTTAGCTTAGGTTCCCTCACAAGTAGTACGAGATAAAGGCACAGAAAACAACATAGAAAAATAATGTGTTGAAGAGCCACTTAATAGTCTGTAGTGAAATAAGTTGTTACTGATAGTAGATATCTTAAGTTTTTTTTCTAAAGGATGCTCAAGATGAAGAGCCAGTGGACCTTAGGACCTATACAGAAAACTGCAAACTGCCAAATATTCCTTCTACATAATGGTCAATGACAGAAGTTTGCATGCCTTGTGTTCTAGCTGTGATTTGGTTGTTTCTCATGAAAATATTTTCAGATTTTAGAGAAAGATATAATTTTTGAATGAGAACATGAACTGACCTAGTTGTAAAATTTAAGCAAGTTAAGTTTTTTGAAAATGGGTCCTGTACAGGCATCATATTTAGAATTTAGATATTTTATATTAGGTAGATGTGTACCCATATAACCTCAAGAAAATTCTTGGTGATCATTTCAAATAAACAAAACTTACTAGAGTAGAAATCAAGAATGTCATAATTCATTAATTGAAAAACCATCAAAAGTCATTGAACACATGATTTGTAACAACATGAACAAAAAATTAATTAAAAAAAGACTTCACTTTTTAAAATTTCCTTAACATGTGTACTCACTTTTTCAGTCCTTGATCAATCAACATTTTGCAATTATTGTAATTATTGTTTTGGGCCACTTCACTCAATCCTAAACCCTACATACAGTGTAATACTGTAAGATTAACCTTTTCAATGTCCAGCTTGTCAGAAATATTAAAAGCTTCATCAAAGGGGCCAGCTTTGAATAGTGGTTTGTTGTTGCGACAGTTGCTAAAGTAAAAAAAGGTAAAACAAAAATGAAACATAGTCATAACTATGCATAAGAAGTTCCTGTTCATGAAGAGATGACAAAATGTTTGAATGGTGAGGGATGGTATTCTACATTGCACACCTGAGTTAGTTAGTAATTTACTGAGGAAATCACAGTTCTCTATTGGAACTGACATGCATTTATTGACCTTGAAGCTTTCATGAAAGCTTGCATGTGAATTACACTCCAAACTGTTTTGCACTACAGAAGACCACTTGTGATGGTAAAAAGGTTGATATGCTGATCTTAATCCACATTTCTGCACATTTAAACTGTGAAATGCAACTGCAATTACTCTTCAGTGTAAGAAATATCTTCCACATATACCCACAATATAATATTAAACAAACATTTTTTATAGGTGAGAACAAAGTGAAAAAATGTCAGAAGCAGGAAGCATCACTCACTCAATGAATCCGCCAATGGTGAAACGTATGTCTGACTTATCTTTACCAAAAAAGGTTCTTGACAAAACATATCCATCATCACCCCAAAACTTCTGATTGTCAAGAACCTGAAAATTATATTTTGATTAGAAACAAACTAATGTCAGAATTAATACTAATTAGCTCTATCATATCAATCACAATGTTCATGATTTCAGTATTTGCCACACAATGACACAGCCATAAATCTTTTACACTTTTTAACCCTGGATGCATGTAATTATATAGCAATTAATGTACTTGTTGATTTCCTAAAATTGGTAGAACATGTTGGACACCGTTTGCCTATAAGCCCCTCCCATTCCCACTTTTAGCCCCCCTTCCCCCTCCCCCCCCATCAACTTGTTAATGAAAACAAAATACATCTGATTAGAAGCACTTCTGGATATTAGCCCCAACTCTCTTTTTTTGAATTGGAGATTTATTAGGACTAATAATTACAGAAAAAAATATTACTCTTGCTAGTTTGAGATATTATTACTAATAATTACTAAGATAATATTACTCTTGCTAGTTTGGTTAAAAGCCCTCTCAGATGTAGGCTTCTCTGTTTATAAGCCCTATTAAAACCCATTACAAAGTTGTATCAGTCCAGGGCTTAGAAGTAGCTGTTTACCATAAGCAACTGCCTTCTGTCCTAAAAGAGGTTCTTCTAAGACTTCCAGACCCCCAAAATCATTTTTGATTGGGGTAAAGGTGCTAGCCATGCATTTTTCGATTAGGCTGCTTGCTTGGACTCACTGATTACATGTAATATTAAGATAGGTGTTCACACAAACCTGAGAGTACAGTTCTCCAGAATCAATAGCTGTACACACTGTTTGCATTGGTGCTCCAATAATAAAACAGATTGTAGTCAATAGCATCAAAAATGATGCAAAAATAAAACAGAACCCAGCAGCACTATAAATGAAAATAAGAAACAAATTAGAGAAAGACAAGTTTTATTGTTTTCAGCTACTACTGAAAAGGTAAATCAGAACTTAGTTGGTATAGGACAAGTTTGCTTTGGAAAAAATTAATTTTTTACTTCATCAAAAAGAGTAACCAAGGGATTACAGCACTTCTAGCATTTGAGATTCCAAAGGGTAACTTAAGCTCTCAAGACCTATCTTCAAACATACCTACAATTTAATGTCAAATGCTGCCATTTTGAATATTTCTTAGCAATCTTTGCTTATCTGGTACATAGAACACAACATGGCTGCCCTAAGACCATAGAACCAGAGAGAATTTCATAAAAGCAAAGAAGCCTGTGGCCAAAGCAAAAGCATTCTGGAATGTTTTGGTTTCCTTCATTAGAGTTGAATTCTGGGAAATTATGGGCAAGGATCCTCAGCTGTTTGCAAATGGCAAAGTCCATGGTCAAATTTTTAGCACATTTGCAGACAATTTTCCAAGGCTACTCTTTGAAATTTAAAAATGCTATCAGCATATTTTGAAATGGAGCATAGCATGTACATTAGAACATGGAAAATCAATAAAATGTTTCTTACGCCATTAGAGAAAGACCTCCCAAGTTAGACACTGTACCCCGTGTGGTTGGTGAAGCTTCCTTGTCGTGACCACAGACACCACACATCAAGCCAAGAGCCATCAACACCACAACAAGGAGAAGAATGCAGGTCAACCCAACCCCAGCCATCCATCTGAAAATATGAGTTCCAGATTAATCCCAGATTTAAGCATAAGATAACTAAAATACCTTGGTAAATGAAAATTCCTTCCCTAATGATTTTTCAATCTACAAATCTGCTAAATCACCATCCTTTCCATCCAAATTCTTTCAATTTGAAGGGAATACTCAATCCATTCTAAAGAGTCAAAATCTTTTTCTGTGTCATGCAAAGTCACTAGCAATAGTGCCCAGTTCAGTACCAGAAAAATATGTGAATCAGCCCTTGCAGGACTGGAGATAAAGCAATCTGAATGGTAATTTTAGTTACTAAACTCCACTATTATATGGCATTTGCTGTGTAATAAGGGGTTTACTGCTATCCAGCATTTTTTACAATTTTTTTTCAATTACATATTACACTCCTCTAAACAATTACAGACTGTCCATTGAAACATGACTGATGCAGTTAACAAATTGTGTTATTACTGCAAAGAACATTAAAATTTAACCAAATGGTAAATATCTTCTACTAATTTTCCTGACAGTGTTCTGATGGTTCACTTTACCTGTAGTTGTCATATTTTTCTGCTTGTTCTTTGGCTTTTGGAACAGTATCAGTTTTAAATTCCTCAAGCTTTGAGATGACATCCTATTAACAAGAAAAAAAGTCAGTAATATCAGACCTGGCCTAGTTGTTGAAGGGTGGACCATGCTATCCACTGGATCAATTTCTATCCAGTGGAGGACCAAACAAGTTTTAAAAAGACTTATCTGCTGAATAACGCTCTATCCCTTTCATTCACCCATCCACCCTTTGAACAACTGGGCTGGCAGTTGACTGTCTTAACCCTTTCACTCTCAAGATCTAATTAGGAAGACTATCTACCAACCTTATGATGTTGGAGGGTATTGGATCAACTAATAATCCCATGATTGATATCTCATTCTCATCACCTGCCTTGATATTGTATTGATATTGTAAGTTCTGTCTTGGTCACATTCTAATTTTTTCCCAATTTTTTTCTTTCACACCCGACTTGGTCTTTCTCGAAATAAAAACCAAAATATCTCCAATGGAACACAATCCATAACTACTGCATTGTTGTTTGTATAACTAAATACATATGTTGAGCTGAAGACCCACATCATTTGCAATTTTCCTAAGATCATCTCTCATCTTGTTGACACTGCTAGTTGCATTGCTAATCATTTTGCCAATATCTATATAAACAACAAAACAAAAAAGCAGAGAAAGATTACTTTTATCATCAGATTTACAGTGAGTAATTTCCATTTCCATTTCCAACTTCAAAATATGTCTATCATAGATTAGGTAACTAGTGACAGAAAAAAGTGGAGATAATCTTGACAGGTCTTTCTAAATGGTGATGGCTGTTGATACCTTTAACTCATGATCAATCACATGCCTCTTGCACTTGTATGTTAAGAACTACAGGTTGTTTTAAGAAAACTCATTCTACTTGCGAGTAAGTTTCTCTAACCTCATCACAGAATTAAATTTTCTTTCACATAAAGAACACATTTACATGTAACTCTTCAACATATTTAATGGTGAATCCCACCCTCAGTAATAAGGAAAAAATATTACACACAATCTGACTATACATTTAAACATCAAGCATTAATTGTTTCAGTTCACAGTGGAAAGGAGTCACTTGTATGTTGAGTCAAATTAAACCCTCAGACTTTTTTCCTCATTTCCTATACAATCAACATCAAGATGTTTAATTAGACTTGCTTCATACTTGTAACAAGACTTTTTTTAATTAAACAACATTTGCATCTCTTGATATGAGGATCTTAAAAAATATAGATAAGTCATTTTGTGTGGTACATTAAATTGTATTTGGACATAATTTGATCATAATGAATAAATTCTGTGTTCTGTTTACCTTTTCGTGTGTCGCTTGTGTCATTGATGACCTTTTGGGGAATTTCCCTTACTTCTGCAAGTCCCTGTGATAAAATAGATAAATGTATGAGGCTATTACTGACTGAAATCCTTCAATACACTTCAAAACAATGCATCTCAAGAAATGCTACAACTTCAATCAACAACCTTCTCACTTCATTTGTACCTTATCTTAATTTGTTCCAATTTTTATCTAATTTCTAATAATACTAACACTAAAATAGAAGTGATCCTTGCAGCTATGAACACTACTGAGATAGTAGTAGTTGACCTGGGCCATTCTTTTTTGACACCCAATCTGTAAAAGCCATGTGGTCTAGTGGGTTTACTGCCATTTCCAGATACAGTATTTCAAATCAGAATCTGTAAATTTTAGAATTTTTGGTGCAATAACAACATCAAAGATATCAGATGAGTAGCACAGTCACATAGCCATTTGCTATAACATAGTTCAAAAATAACTATTTTTTTATTTTTTTCACTTTTTATCACTTTTTGACTTTAATTTTGATCAAAATGTACATTGTAATCAATATCTGTAAATATTTTTATTATTTTGCATTAATAACACTAATTGTTCCGTGATAAAAACAGACGTTTATAACTTGCATTAGAATAAACCATTCTTGTTGCAAATCATACTGCCTGTTGCTTTTGTCATAAAATACTAACGGCCAAAAAATAGTGGCCCCATGTGCGTTCTATATTGAGATATTTCATTTTTTTTCTTCCATCTGATACATTTCATGTTACGCGTTACACCCAGAAATTCACACATTTTCAGGAAATATTTATTTTTTACAATTTTCACTTTGTCGCAAACCTTGTTTTCTTTACACCAAAATGAAGTAGGATAACTAAGCTTATATTGTGGAAAGTGTGAGATTTAGAGGTTAAACCTTCCCGAAGATATTCGTTAGCAAAGGCACTTGAGTCCAAAATGGCAGCGTGACTGTGCTACTCATCATCAATGAATTACGGTCAACTCGCCGACAGACCAACTCGCCGACGCCAACTTGCCAACGTAAAAAATCAAGTAGAGACGTCGGCGAGTTGGTCCTCAATCCAATACAACTTATTAGAAGTTAAACATACAGAAAAGTAAACGATATTTAGTAAAAAAACACTGAACATTGGTGAACATCAAACAGAAGCTTAAACATCAGTGAACATTGATGAACATCACCAATGACTATAACAGCTTAAGATGCGAACGAGTTATTGTGCGACAACAACACCGTAAAGACTCATCAAGTCAATCGCTCAGATTTTTTAACAAAAACTTGGCTTTCTAGACAAGATCTTTAGTAAAAAGCATTTCTTTTTATTTGCAACAAAGTTTATAAGGATCTCAAGGTGAATAAAGCGAAGTAAACATCACGAGTTATCTCGTTCGCGTCTTTTAAAAGCTGTTATAGTCATTGTTGATGTTCACCAATGTTCACCGATGTTTAAGCTTACTTTTACTTTTTTGTATGTTTAACTTAGCATTTCAAATCAGAATCTACTCGATTTTATAGCAAGTTGGTGGTGCAAATAACGAGTTGAACTCATCAATGGTTTAATGTAAAGAGGAAATAACTTACTTCTTCCGCTGTCTTCTCAAAGTCCTGGTTTACAACCTTTTCAACATTTTCAAGTTCTGATGAAACATCAGGAAGAGCTGTAAAGTTTGCCCCAGTAGCCAGATCATCTGAGTTTATATTATCGCAGGTAGGCTTAACACTTGGCACATAACTGCAATTTTTCAGAATATCTGTCAAGTTGTCCTTAGCCTGATCCAGGCCCTCTTGAAGTTCTTTCGTCAAGTTTGACAGACTTTGGCTGGTGTTTTTGATGATCTCAAGTTGATTCTTCATTACTTGAGTGTCTAATAAAATGAAATATTTAAGTAATCAGAAAGAATAAGGTTAAAAAATACATTTCAACCCTCATAATTTTTTAAACAGAGCACAGATTTGTTGCTGAAAACCACATTTATGCCACTGTGCCAATGTACACAGTTCATCTAAGAGTTAAAAACACTCTTAAGGAATTCTTATGTTTCAAGCAAAATTGGAAATATTATTAAAGAGAATCTCTCAGGAAATGGAGTACACTTTGGCGACAAAAGCTGAGTACATTAAAAATGTCATAACATTCAAGTGTTTGCCCAAGTAATAGACAGATCAAACACTACACCAATGCCTCCAAAGTCACCCACTTTTTGAGTTTCATGTTATTGTGCAAGTTGTATACATGAGTAGATTTGATCTTTCCCACAACAATTCATTATTTAACATCTTTTAGAAATTATTATATGGAGAGGTAGTCCTGAGGTACATCAAAGTGTTCTGATTGGTTCTTACTAGGTAAGGATTTTGCCATATGGACCATATCCACAATAATCAATACAGCAAATTATAAATAAGCGAGTTTAGTCCCACTGCCGTATAACTAGCTACTTATTAAGCTTGTTTGCTCCAGCCATACTAGTGAATATTGGCCCTCAGTTGTTTTGATATGAACCTTGCTACCCTTGGTCCATACTACCAAGACCAAGGCCACTAGTCCTCAGCGTGGCCCCCATACTTAGTTGTTAACAAGTTATTTTACATGTATAAATTGAGTTTGCCCATTGTGTTAACAATATATAAGACTTGAACATATAATAGTGTACTCACTCGCAGCCAAATCCTTTACTGCTTCTATAGGCTTAACAGAGACTTTGTCCAGCTCTTTCAGTAGAGGGTCACCCACAAGACTTTGAAGACTTGCATCAGTAATGTCATTTTTCAACTGATCAATGACAAAACCAAAGTCTTCACCTAGGAGTTTGTCAACTTCCTATGCACAGATGAAAAGAAAAAAAGGAATCAATGTGTGATAAAATTCTTTTTTGTTTTTTTTGTATATTTTCCTGTACTCAGGCTCTTACTGAGATTTGCACGCTATAACTGGTCAATGGTTATAACACATTGTAATTCATAAAATAATAAAATAACACTACAGGCACCCTGATTGTAGAAAAAAGCTAACCTTCATTGCACCAGTAAACCCATAGTTACACTATTTTATAAAAAAATAGAATGCACTTGTTGTTAGTTCACTGCCATAATTACCCACTTGGAATGTTGGGAGAATATTTGAAAACTTGCCTCTGGCTTGTGATTTTCAAACAGTCCTTTCAATATCCCATAGGGGTTATTACACTGGTAAAGCCATAAAAAAGGGGCAGTCTACAAGTATTGCTTGAATAATCAAGTGGTCAGAATCAGACGAAGACTATTGATGATGCTTGGGACTCCATTGCTCATGGTTTAGTCAAACCCTAGATTCTTGGTATCAGACTGTATTTTCCAGATCAGAGAGCTTGCATTGTGTTTGATTGGCCTTCCCTTTCAACTTCTAATCGCCACAAATTATTGAAATAGTCAAGAAAAAAATTAATTAAAAAAAAAAAAAAAAAGATCTCAACTTACCCCAACTGAACGGTTAATAAATGTGACTGCTTCCTTTACAATAGCATCTGAATTGATTTGCATCTCGTCAACAGTTTCACTCATGCGATCATTGCAAACAAATGTCAACAAGACCCCAGTACTGGAAAAAAAAGTTACAAGACAGTTTATCTAGTTGCAAAAGTCAAACAACAGCACAATGGGCTTAGGTTAACCACTTAATTCCCAAAAGTGATTCACATGCAACTTCTCTCTATAATACCAAAACATTATCCTGTAAAAAAAGTATCAAAAATACTCAAATCTATCAAGTAGAAGTTGTTATTTTGATCTAACACCAAATTTTCACACCTAATTTACAAGGAAATGTATAGCAGATAGAGGAGAGAATTTGCAATCAGATCTTAGTGGTTGAAAAGTTAACCCTTATGAATTCAAGAGTGACCAAGATGTATGTATTACATTATCAAAACATTTTCAAGCAATCCCATGTTAAGAAAACACATAAATATCCACAAGGGGATTTTGTTTGGTTTAGCACCAAATTCTCAGAGGTACAATAATAGGAAGTGTATGGCAGAGAGCTCTATGAATTGATCTTTGGATCAGTCTAGGAAGATCATTATTTGGCAAAGAAAACCATCCAGTTGAGGAGACTTGGCACAGACAGGCAAAAAGCCAAAAAGATGATTAAAATGAAACTCAAGCTCAAGGTGTTAAACGGAAATACAGGCACCAGTTGACAGCTGCTGTTAAGAAACCGATCATAGCAGTGTAGTGTACCCTAAGTACTGTATTTCAAAAATCATTTCTTGCTCCATCTTACATGAAATTTCCATACAACCAGCAGAGGTTACACAATTGTAATTACCATTTTAAGGTGAATCTGAGATCTTTCCAAAAGAGAGGAATGGTCATAGCACACACAGGAGTGACTCCACAGATTGCTGTTCACAATAATCAATTAAACTCTTAAAAAAGTAAAGTTAAGTATGAGACATTAATTTTTCACTGATAAGTTTGTTACTTACAACATCAGAAGTGTGATCACTGTAAGAATCACTCCAAACACAGCTCTTTTGCAGCCATCATTTGATTTCTCTTTCTGTGACATCTCCCCACCACAATTTCCGCAGCAGCGACAGCAACAGAAACAAAAGCCAACAATTGGCATAAGCAGACAGAATAGGAAACCAATTCCCACACAAATAATCATTCCCATGGCATAGTTTTTAATAATCTGTTGGGAGAAAAAAAGGAAGATAAAAGTGGATTTCCATTTTGGGTGCATAAGAAATGCATAAACAAACATGCATGAGCAATTTCAACTGCTACCTAAAAATCAGTGCCACATGTTTTGGATAACAAAGATTCCTTTAGTAAGTAATTTTATCCCAACCCCCTAAGAAAATTGTTTAAAACTCACGTCGTTCTTGATAACCTCTTCATCCATACCTTCATCTTTGATCTTGATAAGAATATCTGAAATATAATAAGATTCAGTTTTGAAAGTCTACAAATTCATGTATTTCATAAAACTTCAGGAAATGCTGTTTGCAAAGTAGTAGTAGTTCATTTAAAAGATAACAATTGAATTGGTTGTCAGCTTAGCATGAATAATTAGTCGATTAAGTAAACATCTGGCAGACTTGGTTTACAGCCACCAGCCCTTGAAATTGAAATAACAAACGGAGGCTTTAGGTGTAGAAAAGCTTTGAGCATAAATTCAAAATGCTCAAACATTTAGGCAGGGGAAAGGGGAGGGTTGGACTGAAAGCCTTCCTATTTTTCTCTAACCTTTGCTACAAGAGTGTAAATTGGGCACTGGAGAATCTAAGCCATTTCCTGTTTGGACATCGAGTATCTTCTCCTTTCAGCTCAAAGAGATGATGAATGCGAGATGAAACCTTGCAACATTTCTTGATGAAAACCTTCCCGAAATACACCCTTGCACAGTTCACTCTTTTGTTTTTTTCTAACAAATTTGACATCTGCCAGATAGTGTACATAAACTGATATTTCTTGGAGAAGTACCTTGGGGAGCAATGTGTTGAAAAGTAATAGGATGCAGTCCTTCAAAGTCAAAAAATGAGACAGGTGAGTGCAAGGTAAAGACAGGAGGGGTTTAAGTTTGTGCCCAACAACATAGGAAAGTCTGTGAAATGCCACCAGTTTGTGCTGTCATATCTTTTATTAGTTTTCAACAGATTCCTCTCAAACTTTGAATTTGGATTGACTTTGAGGATATCTGAGACAGCACATCTTTGTTAAATTTCACCAAATTTCTATCAAACTTGGATTGAATCCGCATTGATTTTGAGGATATCTTTCCAGCAATTCTGATGAAATATTTCTATCTTATTTCTATCTACAAACATTTCGCTATCAACATTGCTGATCCTAGCAGCATGCAGGACGCACATGACATGAACTTCGTAATAGACCTTGCTCTCCGTGGAGTCTCTGTAGCTCAGTGGTAGAGCATCAGAGTGCAGAATTCAAAGGTGTGAAGTTTGATTCTTCATAAGAACTCAGAATTTTTCCTTGTCCCACCCTCCTGACAAGATGAAAAAACATCTTTCTCTATTTCTTAACTGAGCTCAAAATTTACCATCTCTCTTATTTCTATCTACAAACACTATGCTATTAACATTGCTGATACTAGTAGTATGCAGGACGTGTGTCATATGAACTTCATAATAGACCTCACTCACCGCAAAGTCTCTGTGGCTCAGTGGTAAAGCATCAGAGCTCAGAATCCCGAAGGTCTGAGGTTCGATTCCTCATGGGGACTCAGAATTTTTTCTTGTCCCACTCTCGTGACAAGACAAAAAAACATCTTTCTCTAATTCTGATGAATGTTTGCAAACAATACTCATGCTGAGTTTTTTAATATCTTCAAATCGCTGAATTACACATTTTAGTCTTAAGGTTTGTCATGAGACATCATGCCACTTCAAAGTACACACACTGGCAAGGAGACCGTCAACGCAAGAGCCGTGGAGGAAATCATTGTGTATTTGATATTGCCCTGCCATAACAAAGAATGCGTTTAAACCAAATTATGAACTGCCTTTACGTACAAACTTCCTGAGTACTTAGAAAAAGCCAGCAAAAACGGTCAACAACACACAAGCACAAAACTTTAGATCGTATTCCATTCATTCCAAATTTCAAGCATGTACTAAACCTATTTGTAGTTTAGCTTACTTCTCTTTAGAAATCTGAACGAATATCAACTCGCCCAGCAGTAAAGATACCAAAAACCCTGTAAAAAAAAAGAACGATAGAGCACAAGACAGAGATGAAAATATGCATCTGTACAGATTTTCATAGCGTGAAAACGACCCTAAAATAACATTACGTATCTCGCGCTCGTTCGCTCCATGATACAAAAACAAAACGCTTTCGATCTGAATGCAATATTTGAACTAAACAGAATCTTCGTGTAAGAATTATTCGACAACGTTCTTTCGCAAAAACCGCAAAAATGGCTTCAGCGCGATCGGAAATGTATTTGCTTTTCGGCATGAATTTGTTTAACAGGAAAGAACACAGTGTTTTGATGTAGATCTTTAACATCGCACGCAACGATCTGCAAGCGCCATTCTCACACACTGCTGGAGACAAAGCACGAAAAAAAGGGAATCACAATCACGCAACTGATTAATAACAAAATCCTTCCACACTGCACAGTGGAAAGAATCCCAAAATCAAAATGACAATATACTCGACCAACCCATGAATTTCACCATTTCAATTTAGCGTTCACCTTCGCCATCGTAAAGGATAGCGAAATCCGCAGCAAAGAGCATTGATAGAGATGCTCTAGGCCACAGATCTCCGTTTTACTGTAAGACACCAACGAACACAAAAGGATTAACTCCACTCACCGTATGGGTCTTTACTGAGAACTGTTCCGATGAAAGAATTTGCGAAATTATACCAAGGCTGTAGTCCTTTTGCGTCGTATTCTGTCTTGAGATCAGATCCCTCTGTGCTTGTATCTTCAAAGTTGTCATTCCAAATTATTGTCGTGCCGTTAACTGTCGGCGTTCCACAGCTCCCAAAGGCAACAAAACAAAAGAAAAACAAAACTAGAAATGCAGTTGCCGGCGACGACATTTTATCAAATCACTGCCAAATAACAGAGGATATAGCTGATGTTGACTTTCCGTGTAAAAAAAATGTAACGACGTAACGACTTGTATGATCAAGTATTTGCAGATAAATCCCGTGAAAACCAGTATGTCTTTCGCTCAAACCTTGGCAATCAAGAAGACGTTGGATGTCACGAGGTTCTTGAGAATTCTTTAACTAGGAAGTGAACCTTTCCCTGGATTTTCAGGCAGCACGTTCAAGCAAATTGCATCAATTCCTTCGTGACCACTTCAGATAATTCAAGCGGAACGTCTTCAATCTGAAAGCCAAACACCCAAGATTATTTGCAAATGTAGAAATAGACTACAATCTCTAAAGAAAAAAGGACGAGGAAAATATATTTACAGCCGAGGTAGATTTTGAGCCACAAAGCCGCGCTTGATAACGTTCAATTTCTCGACAAGTGAGGATCGTGACGTCACGCAAACGTCACTCATCCGATCATGCCCTATAATAGTTCTTTGTTTTTCTCTCTCAGAGTTCATTTCCATGGAAACAAAACTCCTTCTAAACAAGATATTGACACGGTAATTTACCATTTCGACTCGGTTCTCGGTTGGAATATTGTTGGTTGACTGCTAAAATCACGAGAATTGGTGTGCACCTTAAAATTCGTGAAACTTGAGACTATTGAAAATGTGGAAACAAAGAGCAATGGTTCTTTTCATTCAAAGTAAGACCAAGTGCCAATCAGCATCAGGTTTTAATACAGCGATAAATACAGCAGTTGCTATGTTTATATCCCGGAAACATAAAATGAATTTTTATAAGACGTTGTCGTTGTTGATTTCTGAGACACGCGTAAAACTCAGAAACACATATGTTTATGGCCCAAGTGTTCTTGTAAAATTCAATGCTTGAAAACCACAGAAAAAGTGGATGTTTCCTCTCTCTTCATTCTACAATACGGAAACCATTTAAGACAGTATGACAATAAATTCCTCACGTTGATTTGTTCGTGGTGGAGGCGTGAATGGGGGAAGGTGTTCCATTAAGATTAATCACTAGGAATCCACGTCAAAAAAGGAAAGTTAGAACAGACAAAGAAACTGATATAAAATATATTAATATAAGTAAAAACTAATATCTTTTAAGCGCGTGGGTGACATGTCAGTGCAGGCTGACCATGAAATAATTTTTCCCCTTATTTACACTGTTAGTATGAACCAGACGGATTGAATTTTTACTTGAACCAATAAATAAATTGCTTACTTGGTACTTACTACGAGAGACACTTAAGTAGGGAAAATTTCAGCTGGCACTATGAGATGAGGAACTGTCTCTCAGGACAAGAGACAGGAATTTACAGCAAACCACAAGGTGCCATTTGCATTAGTATGTCATCTGCCCAACAGTCCAAATCATCAGCATCATAACGATTTGACACATAAATCATAATAATTCGACCCTCTTGAAAGACAACGTATAAAGATTTTTCGACGCTTGTGCACTTTCTAACTTCGTTGACACATTCGGATTTATCGACTTTACTTCGAAGAAGTCATAATTATTTATGTTTGCGACAAGACGACCACGAACTGTGAGAGGAAAAAAAGGCAGCCCTTGTGCGGTATTAGCGGTGGTCTCTTCCTAAAGTTTCCGTGATGAAGTCGAGCGAAACGAGCGTGACGGTAAATGGTAATTTTTTTCGCTCCTTCTTCTGCTCCTCCGGGAAAAAAAGTCCTTTGACGATTGTTAAGAGAAAATCGGAGTATGAGATGACTCTAGAAAATGAAACTCTCCAAAGAACCGGCATTTTTTGCGATAAAACATGTAGAAAGAACTAAAATTAGCGTTGAGGTGTGACTACATGAATTGAAAACACATTTCGATGCACATCTTAATGACCAAGTAGATTTCACCGCATCAAAGTAGCTAGAAGGCCTCAGGACTTCCAGTAAAGTTAGTGCACGCAGCGGTTCGAGGTAAAATTTCTGCAACAGCCCCATCCTACAGTATGCATTCAGTTCTTGGTTAGAGAAAACAATGACAAAAACAATACATTGTCATTGGGAAAACGGATTTGTTCTATGGGGCTGTGCGGAAATTTTACCCGGTTCGATGTCGAAGCGACATGATAACTTGAATAAAAGGGGCAAGAATCTTGAACTTGAAGCATACCTGAATACTGCGAGAAATCCACTGCAGTGATGAGAAATAAGCACAATCAACAAGGCTTCTATTCAAACAATGGTCTATATGAATTATCCTGAGCTGAACAGTCATGCTCCCCAGACCACGCTCCAATGGGGTCAATGATCACGTTGTGCTAAATACTTTGTATTGTTCTAGGTTATTTTTAATTGAATCAAAACAGAAGTTAATGAGTGCACAGGAATGCGCAGCATAATTTAAAACAATCCTAAAGAATTTGCAGAATAGCTTGGCGACTGTTTTAACAAAATTCCGAGTCAAAGCAAATGGATTTGCGTTTTGCTATAGGATTATGACATTTTTCTACGCCCTCCGGGCTTTCATTTAAGAGGTAGAGCGCTCAAATTAGTAGTTGAAGACTAAACTCTACGTTGATGAATTAATGGCTTTTAAGAATAACGATTTAAGATAACGATTAAGTTACTCATCGACTTCATTTTCAGCAGCTGTAAGAGTAATTTTCATAGCCTTTATTTCTTTGGCGGGAAAACTCGTGCGGTCCTCTCATCGACGAATCGGATGCAGTTAGGAAAGAGCGCGTCTGACTCACTTGTTTCTAGCAGTTTTCTTCCGCAAACTTTGAGTTATCATTGGCTCTCTGAACTTCTCTACCTAGTGTCGGTTTTGTTATGACGACATACAAATAAAATGCACTCTTTTATCCAGAGACCTATCTATCTTGAATTCCACCTTAACCAGTTTATAATTTCTCATCAATTAGCGGGCGTGTAATGCAATTTTTTTTTCACCGGAGTACATGCTTCAAGTCCATTTGCACAGGCAGGTGAGTGGATAAAATGTGTCGAGTGATGTACACAGATTGAAATGACTGAGTTACGCTGCACAATTTATTTTTCATTCAATGTCCGTCCATCCTTCTTCCATTCATTCATGAATTCTTTCGATCTTTCGATCTTTTCTTTGTTTATCAAATAATCGATTAATTTTATCTCGACGAAGGCTTTCCGCTTGCTGTGAACTACGTAGTCGATTCGGACATGAAAAATAGTTCATTGTAGATGTAATGTCATGCAACGAGCTCGCAAAGTTAGGTTGAGAAGTTCATTGGGTGACATCTACCCCGAAAAAGGCCACTAAGTAAACCAAACAAAACCCAGCCTTCAATTTACCGGATTGACTTTGACGCACGCACCGTTGTAATGCGAATAATTGGGAAACTATGTCATAAGGTGTCAGCAAGACAAAGGTCACGTTCAAGCTTATCAAGCGAGCTTTTGATGCCTGCCAACTAAGACTGTAATAATCACCCGATAGCAGTGTGTATTTACGTCTGCACGTCTTCTAACTTATGAACTTTTTCGAAACTTTTGGAAAACTACGGATGGCGTATATATTGTACCTATATCTTTGAATTTTCAAATCATTCCCTCGAGATCGTTGAAGAATAAAAAGGAAAAATTCTAGAGAGAAACATGGTTATTCGTTAATAGCTCACGAGAGAGGAGAAGTAAACAGGAATTAACGCAGCATTTGTAGCCTGTGATTATCGGCCCTGCAGCAAGTTAATTATTAAACGAGATTATGTCATATTATTAAAAATAAAAGCATATAACCTTCATCTCGGTTGTATCCTTCTGTTAATAATAAAAGCACCTAGACTCATAAATAATTGAACTACAGTTCCCTCGACAAACAGAGCTTTAAGTTGCATTTCGCGCAAGTTTTTGTACAGCCCATCTAAAGTTCCCTTTGACTTTGAGTGATATATTATTATTTATGTAACTACCACGCTACAATGAATGACATTGCAGAAACAAATATCGAAACGATCCTGTACAGCACGAGCTTCAGGTTGCCTTGCAGCAGGATCACAGAACAATCATAAACTAATATAACTCAATAAAACTTCGTCTTACCTCCTAAACTCCCCGCTTTCTATGAATAAACGCAAGTGAAAAATAAAACCACTCTCAGTATGACTCACGTCTCTGAACAAGACTTTTGCGTAGGACAGCCCTTGATGACGTCACAAAAGGGAAACGGAAAGCATACACAGATATGGGCATTTTGAAAACTATTGTGTCAAGTGGAGAACAGTTCTTGTCCATTGAATGTAACCTGAAATTGTTTTGAATTTTCGCCACTTTGTTCTCCTGTTGATTAAAACGGTTGCCGGCGGCGATTTTATTTCCCTTGTACTGCGTGTAGTGTTACATGTTTAGATGCTGAGGTAAATGAATAAATCATACATTCATCGCATGATACGGTTTAGTAAGTTTTGAATGTATTTCACCGATAGAAAAAGTCTAATAGTTTGGCGCTTAGATATATATTTAAGAGTCTAAACTTTCTAACATTTAAACCGAGTGCTCTTCACTGTAATTGGAAATATTTTTGTCAAACAGTTTTCACAACAGCAGTAGCGAATAAGGTAAAATGTTATGAATAAGTCTTCTTTTAACGCTAAATCATTAGAAAAAGGAAAGTTAATTTTTAGATCATATGATGCTCAAAGTTCACAAAATTTAGGCGAGGAGGAAGGAAGTAATTAACACCCAGACACAGAGCCTGAAAAGGTCATTGATGCATTCACATCTGCTAACAAAATTCCTCTGCTTTATTTAGCGGAATGTTGTGGACAATAATCGTTACGTATAGGTATTCGAACTTGTAAATCAAAGTGATCCTTCTTTAGGTTTTGGAACAGACTTTTAAGTGAATTTTGCTCGTACCGTTTCAGGCTATGTGAACTGAGCTAGCTTTTATTTAGGCGTTAAACATACATGGCTAGTGTTCCTTAGAAATCCCCTGAATTAATCGAAGTTCGCGAGAAGTTTCAGTAAGAACGGTGTATTTTTTTAATTTCTTTGTTATCTTTTGGCAAGAAAATATCAACTCTTGCTTTCGGAAAGATTTCAGGAAGACCTCTGATTTCTTCTAAGGTTATATATAGAAAAGCCTCATTCAATGAAAAGTTTATCGTAAACTATTTTTGTGTAATGACACCTAGCTACATAAAAAAGTGGAGGAAAATTCGATGAACATATATAACCACAAAACCATTTCAGTTTTACTCCCTAATCAACCCTTTCACGGCCAAGTTCTCATTAGTAATTCTCCTTACTGTCTGCCATACAGATCTTATGATGTTACTTTGATCAACTGAGAATCCCCCAAATTAATATAGTTTTTTTATTCTAATCACTTGTCTGCTTGGTATAGTATCAATATTGTAAAGAGAAATTCTGTCTTGGTCACTCATGGGGGTGAAAGGGTTTGGTAACTAATAATTTGATTTCAAAGATTGAATACGAAATG